TCAGAAGAGAAGCAAAAAACTGAGGGCTGAGAGTGATTTTTCTCATTCGCTGCATGGCTGCTAAACCGTCGCGCTTTTCATCGTCCGACACGAGAGAGAGCGACGCGCGTTGCGACGTTGGATGTGCATCGTGTACTCGACTACTACTCCATCCCTCTTCCCCCCTCGGCCGGCCTCCATTCTGCTTGAGCTCTCGTCGTCGTCGGAAGGAACGAGCAAAAAAAAAAAAAAAAAAAAAAAAAAAAAAAAAAGCAATAACAAAATTAGAAACAAAAACAACTCGAAAAAGCAACACCGCGGATCGCGGCAGGGAAACGCCCCAGCTGCGACGTGCTGCGACGTGCTGCTAGCAAGAGAGAGAGAGGTGGGGGGGGGGAGAACGAGTGACTGAAGAGCGTGGGGAGGAGCGGGGGGAGACTGAAGAGCGTGGGGAGGAGCGGGGGGAGACGCCAGCCGGAGGGAGGAGAGAGAGAGTGAAGGGAGCAAGATGATGTCCAAAAAAAAAAAAAAAAAAAAAAAAGCTTTGAACAAAAAAAAAAAGCGAGCTTTGTTACCATCGAGGCTGACAGTCGAGAGCGGTCGTGGTTGACGCTGCATTTGTTTGGATGAGTGATGGGGCTTGCGAGGGTGCGAGGGCGGGGGGGTGGCGCTTGTGAGGAGGAGGATTGAATGACGAGCAAACAGTGACAAAAAAGAGTGAAAGTCAACGAGGAAAAAAAAAAAAAAAAAAAAAGACTAATCGGCCGCGGTCTGAGAAACTCGTCTTAATGCAGAATGAGTGCTTTGTGTGCCGGAGCGTCATCAATCCAAACCCAGTTTTGCAAATGTCCCAATGAAATAAAGCAAACAAACCATGAACAAGAGAAATTTCAGAGCTCAGTCGTGCGGTGCAGAGCGAGAGAGAGATTGAAAAAGGGAAACGAGAGACATTTTGGAACGAACATGCTCGAGCTCTTGCGCACGTTCGCGTGGATGGCGAGCCTGCCGGTCGTCCACTTTGTCTTCGCCGTGACCATCCTCGCATGGCTCGTGCAGCATCTGCTGGTGTCAAGTGCACCAGCGACGCTCGCCCAGCCGTCTTCCAGCAGTAACCAGCTCAATGTAACCAAAGAATGTTGAACAAAATTTGAATCCAAGCATAAACGTCGTCGTCGGCTTTTTTTGTTTCTCAATGCCTCGCGTTCGTTGCTTGTGTTTCCCGCGTTGTCTGCATGAACTTGAACCGTGTGGAGCTGTTACTGACGTGATTGTCTTGGTTGTGGTGCTTTGAATCGCGGCGAACTTTGATGCTTGCGTCTGTTGGAAAAAAAAAATTGGAAAACGGTTTCGCTTTGAAAAAAAGAACGTCGCTGGTGTGCTCAACTCGCCGCTCGAGTACAGGTAAGCAAACGAGAGATGGCGTTGGATCTTATGATGATGATAATAATGACGAGAAGCAAAGAGCTCGAATTGGAAGCTCAAGTCAAAACGGCTTTTTGTTTTTTTTTTGGCGCAGACATCCGACTGGCGGAGGATCAACAACGCTGGCGTATCACGAATCCCTCACCAACCAACCACGAACGCTGTCGGGCTACCAGCGACTCGTGCGCACCCTCGAAGCCACAGTGCGGCAGCTCGAGACGCAAGTGTCCCAGTCAAGCGTCGCGTCTGCCTGCGATCAGCAACAGCCAATGCGAGGTATGCAATGCTGACACAAGTCCTTCGTTGTCTTGAGCTCGCGCTCTAGCAGCATTGCGGTCCACGACTACAAAGCAAAGCGCATGTCATTCGCCTTGGAACGAGAGCAATGCTTGAACATTTCATCATGTGTTTTGACTCGACTCGAACAAACCAAACATGAAGAACACAATGTCTCACCTTCGTCTGCTTTGTTTTGTTCGATTTGTCCAAACTGAATTTGCTACGATTTACGATGGCTCTTCTGCAGATTCGATTGCGCTAGATGACACACTTGTCCTGGCCGCAAGTCTCGTGCCAATCTCTGCGCTAGTCTCATCGCCAATTTCACCGCCGTTGGTGCTCACATCCAAAAACCCGTCAAGCGCGCAGGTGGTGGCATCGCTCGATGAAATGCTGGCTATCGCAGCGGCAGCGACTCCTCAGCGCCCCAGCAATGTCGCACCTGTGTCAACGCCAGACACAAGCCAAAGCCAGCTGCTGGCAATGAGTCCACGACCCTCGCTCATGCATCAAGCATCCACCCTCAGTCCCACAAATGGCGCAATGACGCCGCGACCCTCGCTCATGCACCAAACATCCACCCTCAGTCCACCAAATGGCGCAACGAATGCAGCTCTCTTTCAGACGCCGCCTCCCCGCGCGTCGCTTCCTGGAAGTGGAGCGGGCACGCCTGCGGGCTACAGTGACGAATTTGGCTCTCCGGGTGCCGGTTTGCTTGGAGATGAGCCTCGTTGCGAGAGTTTGCTAGAGGTCAAAAAGTCGAAAGGCACAGGCGGCAAAAAGAGCGTCGGGCTCAGTACCTGGAAGACGCAGTACTGTGTGGGTCAAGGACAGGTCCTGTTCCTGTACAACTCAAAGCCGGTCGGAAGCTCTGCCAAAACGGTATGTAGCAGCACCTCTCTTTTTTCGTCCTTTTGTTTTTGAAAGTCAGCGCATTTCAACCGATCTTTCGAAAAAAAATTGCTTCCCCCTCACTCACTCGTTATCATGTCTGCACTTGTTTTTTCCAACTGAACGCGCAGAAAATGCCTGCCCTGGTTAGCCTGCAGCGAAGTGTGCTTGACGAAAACCGCGAGTACAGGCAGCGCGCGTTCGTGTTTGCCATCACACTGGCCGACAGCACGGAGTACTTGCTGCAAGCGGCAACGCACCGCGAAAAGCAAATGTGGATTCAGCACTTGCGCACCAATGCTTGCATGGGGCTTGATCCCAGAAGCTCGTCGATTGGCGGGTCTCCGATCCACCACTTGTCACCAACCAACTCTGCGGGCATGCTCTATGGCTCCCCGCAGACGAGTATTTCGCCAACGGGATCTCCAGGAACGCTGGCCATGATTGACCCATCGCTGGCGTCGGCCATTGCGACCTCGCAGACAGCCTCGCAAATAGCGGCGTTCAACTCATTGCGACGCCGTATGCAGAGCATGCAAGACGACTTGTCGCATCTCAAATCAGGCATGTCAGAGGTTTCCCAGACGTCCAAGTTCACTTACGCGGGCTTGGTCGACATGCTGACCGAAAATTCGGAAAATGCTGCCATCAACGATGCAGAGCTGTAAGAGCCAGGGAAACGAGCGACTTTATCGGCAGTTGAGCTGCCAATGATGATGCTCTGTCTGTCTCTTCTCGTGCGCGGGTCTTTTCTTGCTTGTTCAAACCATCTGCTCTACAGTTAGATGCTGGAGGTTTTGCTGTAAAATTAGTACATTCATTGTTTGTGTTTCCGACCTTGAACAACAAGAGCAAGTTAGTTTTTCCTCTCAAGTTTAATATAACAATGAAAATCGGCAAGATCAAATCGACAGCTGCTCCCCCCTGACAAAAAAAAAAGCACAACACTCCACCCACTAACACAGCTGGTGTTCTGCTCAAAGTTTAAGGGCTCGAGCCAGCAAAACAGAGCCTGGCGCGTTCGTGGTGGATGCTGGTGGCCCTGGCACAAAGACTGATTTCGGGCGCTCCAATTCGAGGGCAGTCAGCACACTGGACGTCGTCTGGACCGGGTTGAGCTTGGGCAAAACCTTGTCGAGTTCGGCCAAAGCTGCGCATCAAAAAAAACCGTCACGTCGTCAGCAAAGATTGGTCGGAAAACAACAAACACACTGCAACCCTGACGAACAAATCTTACCCTCGGAAGTGAATGGGAATTGCCCAAATATCTCGTGCAAAAACCGACGCGCCGCCAGATGGTAAGAGTAAGCGCCGACTGTTGCAAAAGTTTTGGCATAAATCTCCACCGATGCGAAAAACTCGGGATGCTGGTCCTTCATTCTGCAACAAATGACGTGGGACGACAACGAAAAGTGAGTTCTCCAAGATATTGATCCACCCCACCCTCGACTTTTGAACCTTGCAATCAAAAACTTACTTTCGGATGTTTCGTTTCGACGTATTCTGAAGCACCTCATTGTTCAAGTTACCAATTTGCCGCATCAGCTCCTCGACCGGCGTTTCTTTCTCGAGCAGCTCCTGCTCAGTCATGCCCTTCCTTTCCGGCTCTTTGAGGGGATTATGCTCCAGCGGAGACACGGCAGCCCAGGAACCGTCGAACGATGTTGGCGCAAACTACGAGTGCAAGCACATTCCGTTGGCTCAGAGCAAAATACACAAAGTACACGTTAAACGAACACTTGCACGGGTCTCTTACATAGAATAAAGCATGTGGGTTGCGAGGGAGCGCAATGCCGAGTGGCACACCACGCGTGTCGAATGCGCAATCCCATCCGAGAGGTTCCAGGGCCTGGCAACCCTCAATGGTATTGGCAAACATGGAAAGCACATAGTAGCACGTTCTACCACGAGCAAGCCAAATGAATGAGTACAATTTGACACACCAACCCAAGAGTCCCTCACCACCAAACAAATGTAGACATACCCGCGCAGAGACATGGACGAAGTCACTTGGAGTAGCTTGCTGATCATCGCAGGCGTGTCAAGCTCCAGCATGTAGGCAATGCCGAAAGGAGATGCGGCAATGTGACCCTATATTTCAAACCCCGAGCAAGAAGAAGTGAGTTCAGCACGAAAAGCGAGAGTCCAAAAAAATCGCGTGCTCACCAGCGTCCATAATGCCCCCTTCTCCTCCAAAATGGCTGCAGCAAGAGTATTGGTGGATTGCAAGAGGGGGTCTCCACTCGTGGTGCCCACGCGCGACGACCTGGCGTTGCTAGCAGGCTCGGGTGCTTCACGCTGGATGGCTCGCTCTAAAAGCTCGACCAGCATAGGAACACGCCCAGAAGACCGGATCATTGTTGCGCCGTCCTTGGTTTTGCTGAGTTCGCCGAAAAAGTGAACAGGCAGCTTGACGTAGCCGAGCCGCATCGAGTTGAGCGTGAGCTGCTCGGTAAAGCTTTGCGCAATGTCGCGGAATACGCGGCGCACGGCGGCCACATGGCTGTTGACGTACGCGCCGTAGCTGTGCGTGCCGGTGATGCCGCTCGTTTCATGATCGCCGTACCACGAGGTGGTGGAGGCAAGCACGCTCTCGACTTGAGCAACATAGTCGACGGCCGGGAAGGTCCACCAGAGCTGCATTTCTTTTGCTGTAAATCCAGTCTCGTTCAAGTACTTGAGACCGCGGAAGGTCGACAGCAAGCGGGTGAGGATTGCCTTTCCTGGCTCGCCGAGATGCAGCAGGGCAGGCCGCTTCAAGACCAAGGAATTGAGCAAGCTCTCGTCGTCGCAGCACTCGTCCAGAACCTCAACCGCCTTGTAGCACACCTCAAGGTCCAAGTCATACAGCTGCGCGATGAGCAACTCAATGCCCCACTGCGCAAACGCCTGGACTGACGCGCGCATCAGGACACGCAGATGGTCGGTGGAGAAGACGCGCAATGTTTTGGTGCTGGATGTGAGCACCTTGGTGAGAATGATGCGTGCGTGCGAGTCAAGATTGTAGTCCAGCGAGCAAATGATGAGCTTGATGATGTCCTCGCGCTCGTACCGGTCGAGACAACCGTACAAGCGGCCAAAAATGTTTGATTTGTCCAGCAGTCTGTCGAGAAGGGGTACAGAGGTGGTGGTGAGGGTGTGAGCAGATGCACTCGAGCGAGGGCACAAACCTGAAAAACAAAAGAGTCGAAAAAGAAAAGCTGAATGACTCACTTGAGACCGTTCGATGTCGTGCTCAGCTTGCCAATCAACAGGAAGTAGTCTCGGGTAGCTGTGTGGGCGATGCGCTCGGGAGTCAGCATGGGAACCTGAGCATCACTCGGCTCCAGTTTCGGTGTCGAAGGCTGATAGGTCAAAAAGTGAAACGCAATGACAAGAAACCAGCAATAGATTGAGTACCTCGACCAGAAAACCAGAAAACCACATCAACGATTGCTCAGTTTGTTGCGAAAGCTTTGTGACGTACAATGGCATTGGGGTCGATTTCGAGAAGGCAGTCAGCAATTTGGGTGAGAACGTTGTTCTCGCGAATCTCTCGAGCGCCCTCTTCACTACCCATAAGGAGGTCGAATAAATCGAGGCCTACACGCGTGTACTTGGCGGCGGCCTGTGCCCCACCGAACAACCAAACCAAACATCACTCTAACATGAGCAACTCTGGAGGGGGGGGGTTTTGTTTGTTTTCACGACACCGAAAACGAACATGCCACACCCCTCATGAGGTTGAAACGAAACTCACCGCATCGTTCAGAGAAACATCCGAGAATTGCCGTTCGTGGGGCCGGTAGAAGGTCAGCAGCCGCCGAATGAGCTTTGAGTGGATGGCTTCCTCGAGTCGCTTTGGCGTTTGAAGCGGCCCACTGATCAGCTGGGCGATAATATCCCAGTCCCACTTGTTGAACTCTTTGGCGGAGAGAACCTGCGATTCGCGAATGAGTCCTTGGAATGACAGGTCATCCAGCTCAACGGCAAACGCGGCGCGCATTTGCTTGATGCGCTGCCGGCTGCGCTCTTGGCTTGGAAGGGAGTCGATGGGTGCCAACTTTTTGGCGTGAGCCACCGTCATGTGCAAGCTGATGGATTGTAAACTCAGCTCGGCATGTTTGGTGTAGTGTAGGCGATCAAGGTTGCTCACGGCCGACTGCGCCTGGGTACGGAACACGGGGTCGCTGTGGAATGCCGAGGCATTGCGCACCAACCCCGGCACCGCCTGGATGGTGGCCGTGTAGGTGGCGGGCAAGAACTTGCTAGCAAGGTGCAGGACCTCGCCCAACAAGGTGGTCGCACGCACGACCAGTGTGCGATCCTCTCCCTTGATGACGCCGGACAGGGACTGTGGTCGTGGAAAAGGCGATGGGCACAAAAACAGGCAGAAAGGGGCAAACATTAGAGGCCAGGATGCAAGATGGACAAGAAACCCAAGGTTGAAACGAACCACCTCGATCGCACCAAACCACAAAACCCCCGTTGCCAACACCTTACCTCAACCAAGCCAGCGCGGATCAAACACAGCAACAGCAGGGACTTGTACTTGGGAAGGAGATTGATGCGGCCTGGCGGGTGAGGGAGCAGCCCGCTCTCCTCAAACATGTTGCTGGCCGAGTTCTTGCTCGAGGCGTAGGCAGTGGTGCCACGCTGCAGAATGACATCAAACTTGTCCGTCAGCTCGGGCGTGTCAATGTGCAACAACTCGAAGAGCATGTCCATGACCGCAATCCGCGACTCGCGCCGTGCAAGCCGCAGCACATCAATGATGGCGCGCAGCCTCGAGGGCGACGAAGCCATATAGATGAGGCCCGTCCATGTGCGCATGATTGTGACGACGGCAACACGGCTGGCAAACCAGCGCTGCTCAACGTCAGCAGTGGTGGGCTTTTCGACGACCGTGTGCGTAAAGTACTCGTCGGTGAAGGGCGCAAACAGCGAGTCGACATCCACGTCGACCCGAACAAACCGCCGAGTCACGTCGTTGCCCAGAATGTACATGAGGGTGACTACAATCGCCTCGATGAGTTGGCGCGAGTGGGCTGCGAGGGCACTTTTCGTCATTGCGCGAATGCCGCCCGAAATGGCGACAATGTGCGGGTTGCGCAGGGCGATTTCACAAATGCACTCCAAGCACACACGCGCCATTTTATCCGCCGGGTCCTCTGCCACTGCCACAACCGACGCGAGAATTGAACGCTGTAGAGAGAAGGAGAAATTGCATCCGAGAACGCAAAATCGAGGAGCGAAAAACCCCCAGGTGAGCAGCGTCGAACAAAGTGCTTTGCAAAGCAAGAGCCAGTAGTGCTTACCGGCACATCCATTGGAGCGACCTCGCACATCTGCCGCACTAACTTGAGTGCTTGCGTGCGCTCGACTTCGTGTTCGAGGGGCTGTTCCAGCGCGAGCACAATAAAAATCTCGAGATGCGCATCAACGCACGCTTTGACCACTGAAGGCTTTGACGTCAGCAGTCTGAGCGCTCTCAACGCAGCAGCCCGCACCTCCTTAACAGAGTCGACCAGCTGTTTTCGGACCCAGGCAAGTCAGAATAGAATGTCAGCACAACAACAAACATTTCACAACAATCCATGCCATCCCCGAAAATTCGGCCAACAAGACACAAACCTGAGTGCGTATACACTCGATGGCGTCCTCGATCGGCAGATGCTTGTCAAACGACTGTCCGAGTGACCGCGCAATCTTTGTAAACCCGTTGAGCAGGTGGATCTTGACCTCGGGCTTCTCGTTGGGCCGGGCGAGGCCAGTGAGCAGGTCGGCGAGCACGTCGCCAGGCGGCTTGCCGCCCATCTCGATGCCAGGCGTTTCTGGTCCTGGTGCAGATGCCGTCATGGTCAGCGCGTCCTCCGTGGCCGGGATGGAGTCCTCGGCAGTGGACGGCAAGCTTGGCTCGACCAACTCGCTCCCTATATTGGAATCGGTGACCGACCGCGGACACAGCAACAGACAATAGCAAGATAGCAGAAATGTGTCAGACGAGGGTCCGAGAAGGGTTGGAGGGGAAGGAGAAAGGGAGGGGGGTTTGATTTTCACTAAGGAAGGGTATAAAGTGTGCAATCGAGCTCGTTGAATCTGTGCTACAGTCGAGTTCACTAATCCGGCAGACTCCAAGTATCAAAAGATACCCACTTTTGTTCAACAAACAAAAATTCGAAAAACAAAACAACTCTCTTTGTTGTGATCGCCAAAAGCGCCCTCTCAAACCCCCACCCAAGTCACCGATCAGAGCGGCTGTGTGTCGTTGTTATGTGTTGATGTTGATGTTGTGCTGTGCTGTGGCTGGGCGATCAGTCCGCAGAGAGGGGCATTCATTGCTTTTGAACCGGATCACTCAACAACGGAAGCCCAAACACACCACCGCCGCTGGGCTCTCGGTTCCTGCGCCACTCCGTGTCCACGTTGTTTGGCTGGGAGCAAGACACAAGGACAGCGCGTCGCCCAACTTGGGTGGCATCTTGTGAGGAAGCGATTTGGACAGAGTGGAGCCGCCTGCACCGGAACTCGAACTTGGGGGTCACTCACTCACTCACTCACTCAACCCCACCCAGGGACTTTGCTGAATTGGGAGGATGAGCTGGATGGAATCAACAAGAAAAAAAGGGGTTTCGCGGGTTTGCCGAGGCTGTGGGAGTACGTACGGCGCTTGACCAGCTTGCGGAAGTTGGCACCGCTGCCGCCGATCAGTTGGCCGCGAGTGTCCATTCAGCTGAAGATGATGATAGAAAAAAGAAAGAAAGAGTGAAATGACACTGAAAGTAAAAGTGAAAAGCAAACCAAAGGGGAATATCAAAGGGGAAATCAAAGGAAGGATATCCGGGTGCCGTTTTGTTGTCTGGGGTGGTCTACTCTCTCCCAATTCCACCATGTCATGTTCGCATATCATCAATGCAAATAATCGAAGCCAAAATGAGGGCATGACAATCGGACAGGTGGAGCGGGGGGGGGGGCGGCGAACTTGTTGCCGGTCGCGATGATCGCCTGCGCATTGCCATAGCGGCGTCCTGCTGCCTTCTTCGATCCTCGTAGCACTTTTAATTTGTTTGCATAGTTTATTTGTGTGTTTTGGAGCAGGTGGAAACGGAATCGGGGCGCATCGCGAAACTTTTTCAAATCACTTTGGAAAAAGTCAAAGCTTGACTGCAAGACGACACAAAGCTCGTGTTTCGCATGCATTCCACCCAAACCAATGAATTCTTATGCAACACCACCCAAATCAATGGTGGAAGAAGCACCGAAGAGGAAGGAGCGATACGCTTCGATGGGCGGTCGTTGCCGCAACTCTGAGAATTTTGCTCAAATTGCGTGCGTTGAATGGCGTTTCCAATGCACGCGAGGGCGCATGTTCACACTATATTTGCTTCAAAACTATATTTGAAATAAACTAGTAGTAGGTATATTGGTAGAGGGGAAGCGGGAACAGCAGGAAATCACGCTCACAAATCATCCCTCGAGATTGACGTTCCTTCCAACCAAATGTTGTTTAATCAACATGCAATCCTCAAAAAGAGAAGAAGGGACAGTGAACAAACACCTCGAAACACCTCGAAACACCTCGAAACACCTCGAAACACCCGACTGTCAAAACAAGGACGCGAACAAACCGGCATCCAAAGTCTCAATGCTCATTCATTGTTTTTTTATTCTTTTTTATTTTTTCTTTTTTATTTTTTATTTTTATTTCTTGTTCCAATGTCTGCGGCAGTTGAATCGACGACGCCCGACTCTGAACCCGCGATGACGGACGCTGCTGCCCCAGAAGTCGAGCAAATGGCTGCTGCTGCTGCTGAGCTCGAGCAAGTGGCTGCTGCTGAACTCGAGGCTGGCGGGACGGACGGGGATCAGCAGGCACTGGAGCAAGAGCAGCAGAGTCGGCTGGTCGAGCTGCTGCGGCGCCATCCCCTGCCACTCGTGCGGCTGCTGGATCAGCTGGACGGCGTCACAAGGCAGCTGCAGCAGCTGTGCGCAGCGGCGTTGGCGGAAGTGGAGTCCATTTCAAACCTCAGACAGCTGCTTCAGCGACCGGACGGGTTGTCGGCGCTCGCGTCGCAGCAGCAACAGCAGCAGCAGCAGCAGCAGCAGCAGCAAGACCCACGCCGGTCAGAGCAGGCGCACGAGCACCACCAGACTGCCGCGGCGGCGGACATTCCAAACCAGATTGCGGCGGCGGTCGCGGCAGCCATCGAGACGAGCGCACTGATGGCCAATCTCGGCTTGCCGCTCGTGGGCGACCAAGTTCTTCAGAACGATCGCGAGTTCATCCAGCAGCAGCAGGCGCATCGTTCCATGGACAGTCTCACCTCTTCGTTGGTCGAGGTGCGGCGCTCCAATGTGCCCGACCAGGACCAGCAATCGTTCGATATTCAGGTACTGTACAGTTCTGGACTTTTCAATTTTCTCGACAACTACGTTCGTGTGTATTGTTTGTTTTTTTTTTTTTTGGGTGTGTTTCGGCTGTGATTGCTCACTTGTGACTCTGGTCTTGCTGTGTGCTATAACAGTCATCCGCCTCGTCGGTCTGCGCATTGGCGACGCAGGTGGTGCTCGGAGCTACGGGGAATGCCACATCGTCCGAAACGGGCTTGGCGACGTACGCAAGCACGGTGCTGCAGTTGCAGCTCGCATCCAGCTCGCTCTTTGTAGCCATGGAGCGAGCCGTGTGCTTGTTCTTGAACGTCGATGAGGTGCCTCGCGCCGTCGACGCGCATGGGCAAATCATTATTCCGCCCAAACGCCAGCGCGCGCCGGCAAACCCAACGTCCGCTCCGAGGGAGGCCAGCACTCATGGTCCGCTCGGCTTCCAGCACAATGCCTTCGGGAGGGAGCAGCAAGACCGCTGGACGTCGGGCTTGAGTCTCGCGCTCGAGCAAAAGCGCAAAACCATCTATGTCGCCCTGTCGGAAACCAAAACCTTCTTCAATGCCAATCGCATCAAGAGCATGATTCGAACAAGCGTCGTGCCGAAAGCACTTTCCAAGCTTGTCAGCTCGGATGCGCAGTCAGAGGGGGCGGCGGCGGCTCCCACATCCACCGTCAGCCCTTCCGCAGTTTCCATCTCGGCTCCGCGACCCGTTTCCTCCGGCCCTTCTGCCGAACCGCCCGCCCAGCCAGTTTCGACACCAAACCCTCCGCCTCGTAAGCGTGCCGTAGCTCTTGCAACCAAGCCGCAAGATCGGACGGCCAAGGCAGCAGCCATCACCAACAATGCCGCGAATGGTTCCGTCCAAGAGGCACTCGCAGAACCCGCCTCTGTTTCTGCCCCGTCTGTCACCGCGACAACAGGAGGGGAGGACACGCCCATGCTGCCGTCCGTGTCCGGCTTTGTTGACTTTGTGAGCTCTCTGATGCCAGCGTCGACATTGTCGCCTTCCTCCGCCAAACCCACCGGTGTCGTATCAACGCCCCACGATACAAACAAGCCAGCTCAGACACCCCCATCTGCACAAACAGCACTCAAACCTCCACCGTCAAAGCAGCCGCCTCCCACACCGCCCGTCCCTGTGCCTCGTGTGTTTGCAAGCAAGCAAATGGCTGCGGTTCCAACCAACGTGCTCAGCAGGCGCATGCGTAATCCCTTTGCTTTGCTGCCGCACAGCGACTATCTCAAGTTTACGCTCACCGATGTTATTCCCAATGCTTTGGGAGTCGTGTCTGAGCAAGCTTCCCGACGCGGCTTTCGGAAGGGCGCCGAGCCTCAGTCCAAGGACCACATTTATTGTCTGCTTGTGAGCAGCAACATGGCCATGCATACTCCCCCTGACGGGACGGTGGAGTGGACTCCGACCTACATGACGAATGCAGCAGGGACGCGCTACATTTCGCAACGTCCGGCTGTCCAGTTTGTCGTTCATCGGCGATTTGAGCATTTTTGCGAACTGTGTGATGCACTGTCCGCTGTAGTCCCAGGGTACCTTCCAACCTCAGCCGAGCTGCGCGCTCCGTTTCATTCCCAACTGCACGCGATCGCTGTGAACAATGCATCTGCAACCCCGAGCACTCTGACTTCTCTCCCCATTTCTGGATCCACAACAAGCTTTAGCGCTCCAATCGCCAGCACCAATGCCGGTGGAGTGGCTAGTCTAGTCAATCCCTTGCTACTTGCAACTTCTCAGCCCACCCCTCTTGCTGCCGGTGCTGGTGCTGGTGCTGGTGGTGGTGCGGACGCTCTGCGCGGCTCGTTTTCGTCCTTTACATCGTTTGTCGGGGCCCTCACTGGCCACACTGCCGCTACTACCCAGCCAGGGGCGGCGGGCCATCAAAGTCTTGGTCTGTACGGTGGTGCGCCTGAGGACGTTCGTGCGTTATGGATTCAACGCATGCTGCGTTTGATTGCCAAACACCCGCTGCTCAAGCGCAGTCGCCCCCTTGCCGAATTCCTGGCCCATGGCCGGCTTTCTACCCTGTCTGCGACTTCCGCCTCTCGTGATGGGCGAGCCAACCTCCGGCTGTGCGATGTGGATTTGAACGACGATGGTGAGTTTGTGCGGTGTATTTTGTTTTCTTTGCGATCAATTTTTGGTCGCTTCACCTGGTTTCGCTTTGGTTTTTGTCACCTTACATTATGGCTTTGGTCCTTTTCCACATGCAGCAATCAATATTTTCACACCAGACTCGTATCCGGACGACTGGGCGTTGGATTCTCCGGCCTTGTCCAGCTTGTCACCGGCGGCACTGATGCTGCTCGTCAACCCCAGTGCTACTGCTGCCGCGCCCCAAAGTCCTGCTGTCTCGGCAACGGTTGCAAGCCCCGTTTCTCCAACCCAGTCTGTGCCTGCCAACGTGGGCTGGTTGTCGCAGACGCTGCCGGTTTTGTCCGCAACGTCCTTACGCACGACAAATGCAGCGGCTAGGCCCCTGTCGCCTCCTCCGGTTGCTGCTTCTCCTACTCTACCAGCGCCATCTGCCACGGCACCAGCAGTTTCTGTTGCTCCTTCTTCAACCACCCATGCCGCTACGCCTGCTTCGCTTCCCGCAGGCGGCAGCCCAGCGCTCTCTCGCATCGCTGCCCTACGCCCAGCTCTATTTGGCGGACGCTCTGGGTCCGTGGACGAAGGGTCTGCTGGCGATTCTGCGCCGCTCATCACTTACTTCACGCCGCAGTTGTACTCTGCCGAGGATGTCGAGCACCTGCCGATTGCTTGCAACGAGCTCTTTACTGCCATCGACTCGTCTCAAACTCCGCAAAACGTGACCGCCCCCATTCCGGACGAACCAACTGCAACTGCGTCGAATGCAGCTGCTGACGACAAACCAACTGCAGCACACACAGACGCAGTTGCTCATGACAAAGCGACGGCTGCAGTGACGCCAGAACCCGCATCCGCCAGCGTTCCGGTTTCCGATATTTCCACCACGGAAACGGCTGCAACACATGCTGGCGCCTCGACGACAACTTTCGCGCACGCTTCGTTCCAACCAACGAATGCAAGCGGCTCCCCGGCTCCGAACAGCAGTCTTGCCACCCCTTCGGCGACCGCAGTCGCGAGCAGTGCAGTCACCGTCCCGGCACCGTTCTCCAACGTGAGCATTTCCGCGACCGACGAAAAGCGCATTGTCACGTTCAACCGGCTGGACTTGGTGCCCGGCGGCTCGACGAACAGCATCATCAATGTTCCCGTCCTGTCGCTCGTGTCAAACGACGACCGTTATCGCGTCATGGCTGGCTCGGTCGATCAGCTGCTCCAACTCTTGGGAAGCGTGGCGGAGGTCTCGGACGAGTATCTTGCTTGTCTCGCGCTCACCTTCCGTGGGTTTGTCAAGCCCATGGATGTGTTGATGAAGCTGTTCCAGCTGTACAACATTCAGGTTCTTGCAGACAGCAGCGGGCCGCTCTCCTCGCCTGACGACACAGTCGTCGATACTTTTGCGATTCGAGCGCGCCTTCTTCGATTCGTGCAGTGCTGGATTGATTACTACGTGGTCGATTTCGAGGCGGACGATGTGGACTCTGTCATGGACGACTTTTTGCTTTTCGCCGGCCGGTCCTCTCGCGACCATCTTGCCATCGTTGCGGAAACGCGCCAGCTGCTGGATGCTCGGCGAGCTGAATTTGCCGCGCCATTTATCGCGCGCGCGGCCAGTCAGCGTCCAGCCGCCGTTACTGCTGCTGCTGCTGCTGCTACTACTACTACGACTGCTACTGCTACTGCTGCTGTTACTGCGACTGCTACTGCTACTGCTACCGCTCCTGCTCCTTCTGTTGCAGAACCTTTGCCCCTCTCCAACCAAACTACCTCCGACGCGGCGACACTCGCTACTCCAGAATCTGCAGTCACGGATACTCTGGGCCTGTGCGTTGTTCAGATTCATCGTTTGTCAACCATGCTCGAGTGTGTTCGACAGGGACGGGAGGAACTTCCTTCTGACGTGGGCGGTTCGGGCTTGGTTCTCTCTGGGGACGAAGATGAGGATGGACCTGGTGGCGACGAAGAGCCCGCCCTCGTTGCGCCTGTGGACAACAGTGTCATCACAGCACCCTCGGTCGCGCCATCCGTCATTCCAGCTGCACCAGCTTCGGTCGTGGTTCCTCCACCGCCACGTCGCAAGCGCGAAGCCCCCAATCTCATTGACACTCCCGCGCTCGCATTGGCAGAGCAGCTCACCCGCATTGAAAGCGACCTGTTTGCTGCCATTCATCCGGAAGAGTACATTCTCCAGCTCTTTGGAAGCAAAGGCTACAGCGAAGAGACGTTTGCAGCGATTACGAGCGGGCTCACTGCTTTTGTTGATCGGTTCAATCAAGTCAGCTATTGGGTGGCTACAACCATCTGCCTGCAGCCGCAGCTCCATCTCCGCGTCTCCATTGTCGAAAAGTTTGTTGAAGTAGCCAAGGTATGTTGATTTTTTTTTGCTTGCGACGGTGGGCTGCTGAAGTTTTTTTGTTTGTTCTCACACAAGAATGATTGTTTCCTGTTGCGTTTTTTTTTGTTATTTTTTTCATTGTTGCCGGTGTTCATCTCATAGTATTGCCGGATGCTGCGAAATTTCAACACTCTCATGGCCATCATCTCTGGCCTCAATGTGGCAGCCGTCCAGCGGTTGCACAAGACGTGGGAAGGACTTGCCCCGCGCTCAACCACAATTCTCCACGAGCTGGAGAATACCATGAACCCTGCCATGAACTATGCCACGTACCGCGAACTAATTGCGCATGCGCGTAACTCTCCTTGCATTCCATTCTTTGGTACGCCCACAACGACAAATCACGATCGTGTGCTTGGCTTCGTTCATTGGTGATGTACTTTGCGCTGATGTTTGGTGCTTGTTTTGTGCTTATTGTCCGTTCCTTGGTAGGTTTGCATCTCAAGGACTTGACGTTCATCAACGATGGCAACTCTACCAAGCTCGACGGCGGGTTTATCAATTTCGACAAAATGTGGCAGCTGTACGACGCCATCCAAGATCTGCAGCCCGGTGTTCGGCTCGCGTATCGTATTCCGCTGAAGCGAGGCATCAACAACTTTTGCCGGAACATTACCGCCATTGGAGAGAATGCGCTCTACAAGTATTCGCTTCTCTGCGAGCCCCGCGCCAACACGGACAAGGTTCGCCTGATTGAAAAGTGGTCGAGCTCGTAGAGCGTGGTACTCCCGTTCAGCCTTTATTTCTGGGTTTCTTCTTTGGTGCGTGCCTCCGGTTGACACTTCTGGATTGGCGCCACCACTCGCATATCAGGGGCTCTGTTATATTTAGTGTATTTGAGTGACTTTGTTGTTGTTCTTGTTGTTTGGTTGTTGTTGTTGTTCGATTTTGTATTGTTATTTTTGTTCAATTTGACACACTCATCCTCACTCTCAGAGTCCAGCGATTGTCCATGTATTCCCATGCTGTTCATCATCATCGAGCTGCACGCAATCTGTCAGCCTTTCAATCTGTCACACCCGTCACAGGCACGAGGTCGTTTCCAAAAGTTATCCCGATTTCGAAAAACAATCCAGTCCAAATTATTCAATTACCCGAAATGCAACCGGCCGCTCGGCTTGCGCTACTCGTGATTGCGGCGATCGCTGTGGCGAGCTGCTCGTCGTCGTCCTCGGCTGCTGCTGCTGCTGCGTCGTCGTGGAGCATGAAGCAGGAGCACATCTTCCTCGAGTCCTTCTTTGCGAGCTCTCCGCAGGGCGTTGCAATGCTGTTCGCAAACTCGTCCGTTCCCGAGCAGATTGTCTTCTCCGGCAAGACCATCCTGCGCCGATGCTCGTACGTCGGCAAGACGATGACCTTCGCGTCCATCCTCGAGAATCCGAACGCATTGGCGAACGTCTCTGCGCTGGGCTACAACCACATTGGCGACATTGACATTTACAACGGCGTCCTGTACGCGCCGATCGAGGAGGACTCGTACACGCGCCCGGCCATTGTCACCTACGACCCAATGACGCTCGAGTATACCGGCCTCGTCCAGACCACCCAGAAGCACATGCCGTGGGTTGCAGTGTCGAGCCTCTACAAGTTCCTGTTCTCGTCCGAGTTTGACAATGTGACGAGCCTCTACGTCTACCAGGTCGAGAATCTGAAGATGGGATTGTTTACCATTCTGGATTTGCACCTGCCCGTCGGCCTCGAGCAAGGCCTCATGGCAGTGCAAGGCGGCGTTGTTTCCGGCACAAACTTGTACCTGAGCTCGTCTGCGCCCGGCGATCCGGTGTATGTGGTCGACTACCGAACCGGCATTGTCCAGCTCGAGTTCAATCTCCCGTCGACCCAAGAGACCGAGGGCATTGCCATTGCCAACTCGGACGGGTACATGTATGTTCTGGTCCAGAACAACTTTGATGTTGTCGCCTACCAGTACAGCCAAAGCTCGTAGTATGGCCGGAGATTTGTTTTTGTTTTTGGAGTAAAAACGGAACAACAACAAGGGAATCGGTGAACCAGTCTTGTCATTCTTCATTATTATTCATCATTGTGGCTTTGGAAAACAGGACAAGACAGAAATGGAGTCGGTGTGAATTAGTCATGTAAAAACAGGACAAGACAAAGTGTTCCGAGCACACACGGCGATGCTACACACTGCGATGCGTGTACACAATCCAACACAGCGCGAGTGGACGGACAACAAGAAAGGAGCACAATCGACAGGACAAGAACGACACACACAAAAAAAAAAAAAAAAGAGAAGAAAAAAAAGAAAAAAAAAAGAAAAAGAAAAAAAAACCAAGCATGAAAGAAACTACGAACAAGAACACACACAAGACAGGATGAATGACACAAACAAAGAAGAGGGGGGGGGGTTGTTAACGACTAAACGTTGTTTCGAAGAGGGGCAAAAAGAAAAAAAATACAAGTGAAATAGAAATCATAGCAATCATCCAAGAGTATGGGTACGTTGGCGAACCGCTTGAACAAGTCGATGCAGCTTGGCGCCAGTCGCACGCAAAGCATCGGGGCTGGGTGAGCCGGCGGCGCCAAAAACTTTCCGGGCAGTGCCATTGCTGGCGTCAGCAACACGATGGGTAAAGGTCTCTGCGAGTGCGTGCATCATGCCGTTGTCACGAGGGGAGACCTCGAGCAAGCGAGTGAGGCCGTCAAGGGTCAGCGGCTCAGCGCCAAACAGCTGACACAAACGAAAGTTGCTGCGGAATTCGAACAAGTCGAAAGTTTCGGCCATCGCTGCCAAGCCGTGTTCAGTGGCGCAGACTTCTTCCATCTTTTCGGCCAATTGCGCGATAGAGTTGTCAGACGTCTCCATTCGAGGCGAAAGCATCTGAGGCACAAAGGTCGGCGGAGGGGACAACGACGTGTAGGGTGCCGAGGTGGACGCTTGCAACTGTTGCGGCGGCTGTTGCTGGGGCGCGGGCGACGGTTGCTGCTGTGGAGGCTGGGCTTGCAGCCATTGCTGTGGCGGAGGGGGTTGCTGGGGCTGCGGCGTGGCTTGGGACGGAGCCGCGGCTGGCTGCGAGGCCTGCTGCTGCTGCTGCTGCTGCTGCTGCTGCTGCTGCGGTGGCGGGGCACCCGCCTGCGGTGTTGGCATTGGAGGCCACTGGGGATGTGCAGCCGGCGGCGGAGGGTATGGTGGATAGTGGTAATCAGCCGGCGGGTGGTAACCTGGCGGCGGCGGCGGCCGAGGGTGCTGCATGGACGCCATGCGGGCCATGTGCTGCTGTTGCTGATACGACCACTGAGCAAATTGCTGATGGTACTGCTGCAATTGCGCCTGGTACACGGCTTGCTGCTCCTGGAACGAAGCCTGCTGAGCGTGCGTCAGCCCGGCAGGAGGCGGACCTGCGTTGAAGGACGGGGGAGCCGCAGAGTACGGGTTTGCTCCAGGCGTGGCAGGCGTGGCAGGGGTGGACGGCATCGACTGGCCATAGTAGGACGAAGGGGGATAGCCCGGTGCGCCGCCGGGCGCGGGGAAGGCGCTCGGATAGGCCGAGGGCGGAGGCACGCCGTGTGGCGGAGCTGACGCCGGGTAGTGCGGGAAACTGGGAGCGCTAGACATCGGTGTGGGGTACGCCGGGGTGGTTGGTGCCGACATTGGTGCATGGCCATGGTAGGGCGGCGGCATGTGCATCTGGTGGTGCTGCTGTTGGGCCTGGTGGATGCCGAGGTTGGCAGCACTGAGTGGCTGACGAGGGTATGACGAGTCTTCGTCCGTGGACATGGCATTCACGGTGGCCTGAGGAGCCGCTGGGGCGCCGGACGCGGAGGCCAGCGCCCGCGCGCGAGCCGACTGCTTGGCAAGCTGCTTTTGGCCGAGGTTGGCACTATTCTCGGCCATCATGTCGCTCGCCACAGAGCCAGATTGCCCGAGGGCAGGTCGACCAGTGTCCATCGCTACCATGCTGGGGTCGAACGACGGCAAGCCTCCCGGGGGCATGATGGGCCCCACATGCGGGACGGAGCCGTTTTGAACGGCTACCAAGTGGTCGAGGGCTGCCGACCCTTCAAGGCTTCGGTACTCGGCCGATCTTTGCCATGCTCGGGCGAGGCGGTCAAAGCGTTCGATGGCCTTGAAGTCAAAGCCGTAGAGCTGCTGGAGAGTGTCGTACGAGGAGCAGAAGAGTCGCAATCCGTCAACGCCGTGCGCATGGAGGTTGCGCATCAGGTCTCGGCGATCGATCGAGAGCGAGGCCTTTTGCCGCAACAGCTGGGCAATGTAGTACACAAAGTCGGGCGACCAGCCCATCACGCCGTTGCGCTCGACGCAGGTTTTAATGTGCTTGAGAAAGTCAGCCTTGCGAGGGGTCGAGTGGGTGCACAGCTCGCACAAGAAGCGGTCCAGGTGGATGTGAACATCAATAACGTGTGGTCGCATATTCCGCAACTGGTTGGGTGCGTGTCCGCAGTAGCCATTCCCGACAAGCCACAAGCAGCGTGTCGCCGTGATGAGGTGGAAGCGCTCAATGTGCTCAATCAGAATTTCAGGCACCGTGAATGAGGCACCGCAGCCATCCCAATTGCAGGTAAAGTCTGTCAAAGTGAAGGGGGGGGGACGAAAAGCGAAAAGCGGGTGAGCAATTGTCAAACACGAAATCAAAGAAAGAAAGAAAAAGAATAAAAAACAAGAGCGCAGGGGCGATGCTTGGAAAAAAATAACAAAACAAAAGAAACAACGGAAAAAAAAAAGTTGACCAAAGCTGGAAAAATTCAGAAACCAAGTGCGGTTGTGAAGGGAAACGCGTCAGAAAAACGGCTCGAATTCGATGTGTGAATAAAAAAAAAATAATAAAAATTAAAAAAAAAACCCGTCCAGATTTCGCCTAAACCCTTCATTAAGGTCAACGAAACGTGTGAAATAATCGTGCCAACGAGAATGAGGGCAAGGGAAGGAGGGAGAAATAACAAGAGGAGGAGGGGAGATTAAAAGAAGCGTGTCGAAGTGAGCGACCGTCATTTGGTTGGAAAAGGCAAATGTGGTCTTAATGAATGAGTAAAGCAGGCAGCGTCAACGAACTTATCAAAACTGAATTAAAAAAGCACAAAAAAAAAAAACCGGCTGAGTTCCACCAAAAAAAAAAAAAAAAAAAAAAAAGCTGAAAAAAAAAAAAGAACAGGGCTTGGTGTGGTCGTGTGTGTCTGCGGAAAGAACACAGGGGCAGTGCACCGCAACGCCGACCAAACGAGATAGATCAAGCACGTCAGGTGCAAGGAAAGGAGCCAAGCCCCCGACACGCCGCAGGCAGGCAGGGTGCGAGACTGAGTGGCGCCAAATAATTGAAAACAAAATATTTTTTTTTTTTTTTTGTGGCATGGTCTGAATTGTCACCTGGATTTTCGTCATCGATCGACGAGTTGAATGAGCTGGAGCCATCTACTCGTTGTATGCGCCACCCGCTCATTGTGTGGCCGAGTGGGACGGCGAGTGATGCGGCCGAGGGAGGAGTGGGAGAAAGCCCAAGAAAAAAACGAAGAAAAAACGAAAAGAAAAAAAAAAAGGAAAAAAAGGGCCAAGAAAAAAAAAAAAAAAAAGTTCAGCCCTCAGCTCAACTGGTGTATGACTCAGACGAAACGCTGCTGTTCAAGCACTGGGCGAGAACACGTCAAAGAGCACAGAGCTGAGCAAACGAGGAAAGCGGAAGAGACAAAGACGAGGAAGCAGGTGCAAACGGATTGGGGGGTCTACTCAGATAGACACCGCAAACGCAAAAAGCAAAATAAACAAGAAAAACAATAGCGCTAAAAACAGGACTGCTCAGCACTGCCAAATCCAACAATCAAGATAAAGTGGACGGTGTTCGTTTTTTTAACAGCCAGTCTGAGTCACACTCGAGTGGACAGGCCCCCCAAGAGTCAGGTCCACGGAAGGAAAAGGGAACTGAAACACAGAAATGCAGACAGCACGACGGTGACGAAGGCTCGACCGTTCTCCAAACACAGCCGTGGATGTAAGCAAATCCCGGGAAAAAAGATGTCGAGCAAAGAGTGAAGGAGGGGACGGGACGGGAGCCGAGAGCGTGGGGAAGAAAAGAAAAAGATGAACAAAAAAGAAGGTCTTTGGATCTAAACCGACAGCCAAGTTTTTTTAGTTTTTTTTTGAAAAAATAAAAATAAAAAGATCCTTGGGCCTGCCAATTGATAACCATCACCTTGTTTTTTGTAATTGTTTTTTTAAATGTTGGGAGGCGTTGTGTTTGTTGTAACGTTCAAAGAAACAAAAAGAGAGAGAGGGTTTGAAAGTCAAGCCCAAGTGAGAACAAGCCAAGCGGCCGTGCTCAGCCCTCCCCTCAAAAACTAGTGTCCGTGTGTCAATCACCGACTCGATCAGGGAATTATCAAAGCAAGGAAGAGCAACCGAGAGGATGCGAGAAACATAAAAGAAAAAAACAAACACAATAAGGCTGAAAAAAACAGGGGCAAGCTGAGAATTCCAAACACGTTTTTGTAACCGCAACCAGACATAAGCCCCGAACACTCTGAGCAATCGTACTCCTTCCTTGATTTTTTGTGTTTGGACGACAGCGTCAAGCAGCGTTTCAGTGCTTGTGGAATCAAAGTGGAGCGAGCAATGGGCGCGCTTTGAGGCGAGAAAAAGCGAGGTCAACGCGAGCAGAAAATGGCGCGCAAAACAAAAAAAGCATTTCTGAACAAAAAGCCAGACTCAAGCCACACCATGCCGGGGGTCTTTGAAGAAAAAACAACCATCCGTAGGCTGTCTTGCGTTGAGCAGTGTGTGGAGCAACGTCGGTTGTATGACAAACCAAATGTTTGTGTTTACGTCCCAATCAACCACCCACAAATTAAAAAAAAAAAATACCGAACCAACCCAAAACAAGAGAGCGACACACCAAAAGAGCAGGGAGAGGGGCGTATATGCTGCGTTGACACAACCCACCATTTTGCGATTTGACCCACCACAGTTTGGCGGGCGGGAAGGAGAGGAGGAGACGAAGAAAGGATGCGACATTGAGAAAATTAGATGACAGCGAAGCTGTGAAAAATAAATAAAGAGAAAAGAAAAATCGGTATTGCACCATCAGGACGGTTGGTTGGGAGCAACAGGGAGGGGTGGGGGGGGGGAGAGAAGGTCAACGATGAACCAGTAGGGGCGAAAAGCGAGTCAGACGGAAAAGGGGCGAGCGAGCACGGGAGCGGCAGCGACAAACGGAAAAAAAAAAGAAAAAAAAAACTCAAATAAATTAGAAGTTTACCGTTGTTGTTTCGAGGCGGCTGCACGGCGCCGCGCTGGTGCAGGGGCGACACGACAGAGGGCGGGCCAGGCTGCGGTGGCGCAGGGGCGTGGATTTGTGCGGACGGCATGGTGGGAGGGAAGTGCGGAGCGTTTGGCCGAGTGGCGATTGGCGAGGAGAACGGCGCTTCCCAACGGTGCTGCTGCTGCTGCTGCTGCTTGGACGGTTCAAGCGGCTGATGCTGCTGCTGCTGCTGCGGCTGTGCGGGCTCGCTGAGCTGGTGCTGAGCTGGATCGTCTCGAGTATCATCCATGCTGACAGGTGCTGCCTCCTCCATGGCGGTGGGGTGAGCGCTGCCGCCGGATGCCGATGAGTGAACCGATGCAGTGCTCGTGGTCGAGACGGGCGCACCAGCGGGCACAATCCTGGGTTCGCTGCTGTCGTACGACACGGCCGCCAACGCTGCCGCGTCCTCTTGCTGATTGAGTTGATCTAGCTGGCTGGGTTGAAGCGAGCGCTGCTGCAGAAGCGGCTCCTGCGCCATCTCCATCTTTCTGCTCAGAATCCACCGTAAAGATGAAGCCTGCTTTTTCGCTGGAACCGTCAAAAAAAAAAAAAAAAAAAAAAAAAAAAAAAAAAAAACTCAATCAGTTTCAGCAGCTGCATTTTGTCCTTGCACTACCGTTGTTGCTGCGGGGACCAGCAAACAACGTGGTTGGTGCACATCACAAGTCTCCTCCTCTACTCAAAGCAGCCATCAGCACAATGGCACTGGCCGACAAAGCTGCAACGACGTGTAACTCCAGGGAAGAAATGATCATTAAAAAAAAAAAAAAAAGAGATCGCACCATTTTTTTTTTGGAGTGTCTGAGCTGGGCCACCTGAGGGCTGCTCTCCAGGGCGCCGTGACGTGCGGCAGTGTCTCCCACACACAAAGCGTGACAGCATCAATCCCCTTCCACACGGCGTGCGGCAAGCGCGTCTGCAAGGGGGGCAGCACTCAAAGCAGCCACATGATAGCGTGGCGAGCGTTTGAGCGCGCAGAGCTGAGCACGATTTTTTTTTTTTTTTTTTCCGTTTTCAAATCGTGTTTTGGGCTTACAAAGTTCTGAACAACCAAGTGAGGAAGAGTGAGCTCAAAAAACAGCAATGTTAATGTTGGTTTAATGTTGGTTTCATGTTGAGTTTGGAGCGGTGGAGGGAGGGCGAGGGGGAAGGGGGAGAAAGCGGAAAACAACAGTACAGCCAGGTGGCGAATCCTGAACCATTGGTCAGCAGAAACTGGGAAGGTGTTTGTATTGGGCACAATGTTGTCGCACTTTTCTCGGCCCGAGTGAAGCGCGGCGCATCTGGGGCACCCGCACTGGCTCATGCACAGAGAATCCACAGTAGTTGTTGGTGTCGCGGCAGAGGCGAGCGACGGGAGGCGTCGCAATGAGACGAGGACGAGCGAAGTGGAGGAAGGAAGCCAAGAAATCCACAAAAAAAAAAAAAAAAAAATCGAGTTTGGCTGCTGAGCGCTGCCTCGGCCACCACCCGCATGACCGACTCTTGATGCGCATTGCAGTCGGAGTCTCGAACGACTCGCAAGAGTGGCCGTTGGTGGGATGGAATGCATGTCTGTGATATTGAGCCAGGTTTGGTGCGAAGGGCAGAAGGAAGGGGGTTGTGCGAGTTGTGTCGTTGGAACGCAAGGCAAAAAGCCCAAAGCTGACGATCAAAGATCATTTTTTCAGCTCTCCATGATCAGCTGCCCAAAACAAGGCAAGAGCTCGGAAATTGTCAGCAGCAACAAAGATCCTTGATCCCTTTTTTGGGGAACGGCGATGATTCCCCATAAATTTAGCCGATCAGCAAACGTTTGTGCGCGGATCGTTGTTGTGCAAAAACCCGTTCGACCTGGTCAAAGAATTGTTGCCGTTCCTCTCGAGCGAAACAAGCAGCGCACCCAAGAAACGAAATAAAACACCGATAAAACCAATAAAACCGCGGCCGGACCAAAATCCAACTCACAACTCGCCGACATGGGTGTTTCGTCTCAGAAATGGAGGTGCAGACTGTTGCCAGCTGTTCCTGACTCTGACTTCCTGGTGCTGACCGGCTTGCTGATGTGATGGTCGCTGTATTGTCGAACCAGCGGGCATGGTGCGCTCGTTCGTTTCATTGCGCAAAGTTTGCAGAGTGACACGCAGCGAACCTCCCTGGCCCAGCATCCCGATACGCCAGCTTCGCGATTTACCACCTTGCGATCGGTATGCTCACTTGTTGCAAAAAATCTACCGAGCCATGAGGCCCCTCTTTCCATACACACGAGGCAGTCGATGAAATTTGCCAAACCGCGCGCCGAAATTTGACCAAACCGCGCGCATACCGTTGTGGCAGTATTCGACCGACCCGCACCTAATTACCAAAAGGATTGCTCTCATGCAATCCTTCCTGTGGTCTCCAGTACATCAACTCGCGTCTGTGCGCGCTTCTGAGGGACGGACGAGAGTGGTTGGTTTGCCAGAATCCTGCCGCACGTTTGTGCACCGGTGCTGGCAGGGAGGGGTCGCCACCCAACCGCACCTGTCGTCATTGGATGCAAACCGAACAAGGCAAGGAATGTATGGGCGTGGAGGGGGAATGCTACGCGTGACTTTTAGTGTCCATACAGTACCGTCCACGAGTTCAGGGTCTGTTTTTGTTCTTGCCACATTTTCTCCAAGCTTGCAAGCATAGCACACCGTTGGCATGAAAACGAGTTCGTATATTGGAGCATGCTTCTTGAACTCTTTGGCCAACTGAATACATTGGTTCCACCCTCGTCACACTCTGTTCCGCTCATCTGCCAGTCCCAGCAAACAACGTGTGTTTCGGTATGCTCGCGGTTTCGCACCATGTCGAGGCCACCCGACATTGTTTCCATGCAAATTGAGTTCGATGAAATTCCATGCCTTTCGTCTGGTTCGCTGCGTACCACAGTTCTCGCAGGTTCAAAAAGCCAGCGCGGTTTACGGTTCGGCGGTCAGTCTTTTCTTTTCACTTCTTTCGCTCCAGTTGTCTCTTGCACTGCGGCGCTTTCCGTTTCTTTGATTTGCTCTTGGTCTTTGAAACGCTTTCCTGCATTTCTAGCATTTGCGCTTTGCGACTTTCTTTCTGTTCTCTCTGTTCTCGACGTTATCGTAAGTGTTCTTGATGAACTTGACGGCGACCTTGATTTTTGTCATTTTCGTTTGTTTCATTTCTTTTGCGCTTTTTTTTCCCCCAAGTTTCACTGGGGCCAGCTGCGATCACGTCCAGCTTCGAGCCGCCTTTCTGCACATCAAAGTGTTGAGCAGCTCTTCAGATTTGGTGGAACGCAACGGCGGAAGAGTCGAGGGAAGGGCGGATGGGGGGGGGGTTCGGTTTGGATGAAACAATAACGCCGAACCCGACCAGCAAAAAAATAAAAAAAATAAAATAAAATAAAATCAGAAAGGGTTCGGCGTTCTTTGAGTCGCTTTTTTTTTTCCCCAACACGCCACGATCGCGACGTCGAAAGAACGGTCGCAATCTCAGTGTCGATAAAACCACAAAAAAAAACACGCACAGAATCGCAGCAACGCAAATGTGCCACTGCGACTCCAAGCAACAAAACGAACAAAAACAAACAACAAAACAAAAATGACAATAAAAAACAAAAACGCGAAAAAGTTGTTGTGCACATGCAGGTGACCTCGTCCACCCGTTCCTGTTTACTAATTTTGTGACATTTTTTGCACTTGTATTTTATCATCCGTGACAGGTCAAACAACCATCGTGATGATTCGGTCTCGGCGCACTCTGCTGCATAACGCAGCAGTCGCTTGCTTTGTCGCTGCAGCTTTGCTGGCGGCTGCGACTAGCACCCAGGCGGCGTACTCGACCGCCTCCCAGAAAAAGATGCCCACTGCTACGACCCGCGCCATGTGGGTTTGGGAATCATGGCCGACCCTGCGCGTCAAGGCCAACGTGGCGCCGTTCCTGGACTTTTTCCAGAAGCCGTTCGGCCACACCGAGTACGCCTACAATCGCATTCTCCTGTCTCCTGGCGCGGCAGCGCTCACCTCAGACCAAGCTGCGCTGCGGTACTTTATCTCTCAGGCACACCTCCGCGGCATTGCTGTCGAGTACCTCGATGGCCAGAACACTTGGGCCCAGGATAGCGACAAGGCCGTCGCCAAGGCGCTGTGCAACACGGTTCTGAGCTTTAACACTGGCACGACGACGCAGGACGACGACTTTGACGGCATCCACCTCGACATTGAGCCGCACACGCTGGGTGCCATTTGGCGCCAGAACACGGGCGCTGGCAAGGACCGCTACAACGACAACCTCGAGGACAACACCATGGAGGTCTATGCTTCCTGCCGTGCCAGCATTAACGCGCAGGATCCCAAGGTCACGCTTGCCGGCGACTTTGGCGACGACTACAGCTACTACGTGACGGATCTCTGGGGCGCCATCATGTCCCAGAAGGTCCACGACTACGTCGCCATCATGAACTACTACGACACCCAAGCCAGCTTCATCAGTGGCAATGCCGGCGTCGGCGGCCTGGTTCAGAACTTGGCCAACGCGAAAATCCCGGTTCTCTTTGGAGCGGAGACCATCATGCCCCCGTACGCTCCCGACGAGTCGTCATTCTGGCAGGAGGGCTATGGTCACATCGAAAAGCTGTTCCAGAACGTCTATCCCACGTACCGCAGCTCTGCCAACTTTGCAGGCTTTGCCACCCATCACTACAACTCTTACAAGCTGATGTCGTACGACTTGGTTGGAACGCTCGGCAAGGAGGCCTTCCCCGGAGGTGCCCCGTACGGTTCTGGCTCTGGCACTGGCTCGGGCTCTGGCACTGGCACTGGTACTGGCACTGGCACCGGCACTGGCACCGGCACTGGCACCGGCACTGGCTCGGGCTCGGGCTCTGGCTCTGGTACCGGTTCCGGTACTGGCACTGGTGGCGGCGGTGTTGTCCTTCCAGGTGTCCGCTCGTGCCAGCTCGTGAACAACCAACTCATCGTCTCCAACCTCGCATCCAATGTCAAGTGTGTTCAACGCGACGACACCTACGAAGCTGCCGGTCCTGACGCAAGCGGCAAGACTGTGTTCAAGAATGTGCCCAAGCTTTGCAACGTTGAGCTCTACAGCTCGTTGGACGGCAGCAAAGACTGCTCCGGCTACTTGGGCAACATTGACTGCGTGGTCGGCAGCGGCGAAGTCGAGCCTGGCAAACCTTCCAGCACACCCGGAGCCGTCAAGCCAGGCAAGCCAACGAGCACTGCTGGTGCTGTCAAGCCGGGCAAGCCAACCACGACCGCCAAGCCCCCGCCTGCGCAAGCCACCTCCAGCATCAAGCCGGGCAAAACTTCGTCCGCTCCCCCGCCTGTTGTCAGGCCCGGTAGCAAGCTTATGCCCAATGGTGCTACTACCCGCGCCATGTGGGTTTGGGAGCTCTGGCCCACCCTGAAGCAACAAGCCAACGTCGCTCCCTTCGTCGCATGGCTCCAGGCTCCTCACGACGACCCTTCCCTTGCCTTCAACCGCATCTTCCTTGAAGTCGATACTACCGCGCTCACGGATCCTGCTGGCGCACAGCAGCTTCGTTACCTGCTGACCGAGCTTCACAAGGTCGGAATTGCCGTCGAGTTCCTTGGCGGCAACGCCCAGTGGGTCATGACTGCCAACAAGGAGGTCCCCAAGCAGATCTGCGACGACTTGATTTCATTCAATCTTGGCACCACCGCTACGACTGACAACTTTGACGGCATCCACCTTGACATTGAGCCGCACACGCTTGGTGCATCTTGGCGTCAAAACACGGGCGCCGGCAAGGACAACTACAACGACGAGTACCAGAACAACTACGTTGAGATTTACTCGTACTGCACTGCTGCTGCCGCCGCTCGCAACCCTGCTCTGACGGTTGCCGCTGACATTGGCGCCGACTACGCCCAGTATGTGACTGACTTGTGGAATGCTGTCCAAGCTGGCGGCGTCATGGACTACATTGGCATCATGAACTACTACGACACCCAAGATCGCTTCGTCAACGGCGAGGACGGCATCGGCGGTGTGGTCAAAAACCTGGCTCTTGCCTCCAAGGTTCCGCTTGTCTTTGGCGCCGAGACCATCATGACTCCGTTTGCTCCGCCTGCCGCTTCGTTCTGGCAGGAGGGCTATGGCTACCTCGAGCTCATGTTTGACAATGTGAGACCCATGTTTGCGGACAACCCGAACTTTGGCGGCCTTGCCATTCACCACTACGACTCGTACGAGATGCTGCCCTACGACCTGCTTGGCACGCTGACTGGCGAGGAGGTTTCGACCGGCACCCCCAAGTGCGAGTACATCAATGGCCAGATCATTGTGTCCAATCTTGCCAAGACTGTCCAATGCGTTCAGCGCGAGGACACGTACGATGCTCTGACTCCCGACAGCAACAACCAGGTTGTGTTCACCAACGTGCCCAAGCTCATCAACGTCGAGACGTACTTTACGATGAACGGTGAACGAGACTGCTCTGTCTACCTTGGCAACATTGACTGTACCGTCGGCTCTAGCGACGGCTCGGAACCGGCACCCACTTGCGACGCTTGCGTCCATGGGTCTTGCGTGAACGGCAAGTGCTCATGCCAGTCCGGCTACACTGGCAAGGACTGCAGCACCCCCGTCGTGGCACCTTGCGTGTGCTCCTACGAGCAGACCGCGCCAGAGCTGGCTGCCCCGCTCCGACGCCGCGAAGAAGGCGGTCGATACACGTATGCGCGCCGCAATGCGGCCGTGTACTCTGCTCCTGGCAGCGCGACATACGATTCCTCGACTGGCGATGGCTCTGACAATGGTTTGATTATCGCTGCCGTAACCGGCTGGGGTGTTGCATCCGTTGGCGTCATTTATGCCAGCGTCATGGCTTTCAAGAAGAAGCAGGCTGTCCAGCGCGTTCGCAAGGCGAGCATTCAAGCTCAGAGTGCCTACCGTCCCGTCTCGTCCCGTCGTGACTCGCTTGCTAGCATCCCAGAGGCCGATCCCATGGCGATGGCGGACGATTCCGACTTTACCGCACTCCGTCGCTCGTCAACCGTGTAAAGCGAGTTCTAGCCTCCAAGTCCCCTGTGGAAGTGTTTTGTACTAGTATGTGTAGTTTTATCTTCTCACAAAAATGCCCTGCATGATGCATGAGGTGCGCTTGGCTTGCTGTATGTGGGTTTTCACATATCGGTTTTGCTCGGAAACGAAATTGCACGCTGATTTACGTTGACGACAAAGTCACCAGTTTATGTATAAAATAAAAATGAATTCAAAACAGTAGTCTACAAGTACAAGTACACTGACATCAACAAGCAGCAACAGCATGCGGTCACTCAAACACGCAAACAACAAGCCACAACAACATAAAATACAAACAAAAGCGGATAAACGCACAACGAACGCAGTACAGAACGAAAAAAATCATGGCGCACTTTTTACACCTCTGTATCAGTGTCAGAGGAGTCTGCGCGGTCCAAGAATGGCGGCGGGGGCGGCGGGGCCGGGACATGTTTTGGCACGGGGCCCGCGGGACGCGGCGGGGCGATGGCATGAATCGGAGGCGGGCCGGGCAGAGATGGGGCAGCAATGGGAGGGCGAGGATAGGGCTGCGGGGCCGTGCGATGAGGGGCATTGGCAAAGCCAGGCTCGGCGGCGGTGGCAGGCAGGCTTGGGGTGACAATGCCTTGCGCAATCAGGGCGTCCTTCTGCTCGTTGTACTTGGCGACCATGCCGTACAAGTCTGCCGAATACAAAGACTGGATGGAAGACTTGCGACCGTGCGAGGTGACCAGCTTGAGAGACAGCGCGCCATCGCGCTCCAGCTTGGCAACCCGTTCGGCGGCATCGTTGAAGACGCGCTCGCGCTCCTGGTCGGTCTTGCAATTGTTCAGCTCGGCGGCCGTCTCGGCTTGGATGATTTCCTTGCGCTCGGCAATGTAGCGCTCCAAGGAGCGACGTTGCTCGTCCGAGCCCTTGCCAGCAGCTCCACCGGCGGCAGGCTTGCTCAGCACGGCACGCAGGACTGGACGAGAGGTCTTTCGGCGTGGTGCCGGACGTGGGTTTGCCGAATCGCCGGGCGGCAGCTCTTCGTAGCTTGGCGCGACGGAAAGCGCCGAGTTGTCGCTCAGTTCTGTCTGCAGCTGACGGGTGCTGGCAGACGGCGAGCTTGGCGAGTGGGGCGGATGCCCGCCGGCGGCAGCGGCTCCTCCAGGGCGAACAGAAGCGTTGAACAGAGACTTGACAAAGTTGCTTGCACGACGACCTGTAGTCAGGGCCTGTCGCTGACGTTGACGGTGCTGCTCCAAGAAGATGGCACCAGCGCTAGCGCCAACGCCTGCAGCAGCGTCATCGGCACCTGCAGCGAGCGAACCTGCGTCTGCCTGATGTTGCTGCTGGGCCTCTTCCTCTTGCTCGGCCAGCTGCGAGGAGAGCTGGCGCATCATGCCAGAGCGAGGCTTGTCGCCGCGCATCTGGGCATACAGCATGACAGCGTTGCGAAGCTCGCGATCGAGGTTGGTAGCACGGCGACGCAGCTGCGCAACGTGCTCGCTGAGGTCGAATGCATCAACATTCTCACCCTGCAGCAGCTTGGCAATGTTGTCCATGTCCTGCTCGTCTGCCGAGTCGGCCGACAGCAGAGCGCGGGCAGAAGGCGAGCCGTTGGCGCCCGCCTTGGCTTCCTCCTCCTTGGCGTTGAAGGCGCCCTCAATCTTGCCGCGGAAGCTGGTCTGACGGTTGAAGCGCGCGCGAACCTTGGTCTTGTTGCGGACAAACGGCAAGTAGTAAAAGATGTTGTACAGCATGCCGTAGATGCGAATGCCAAACAACACGGGCAGCTTGTAAATGACGGGGAAGAGCACTTTGACCTCGGGCGAGATGGGGTGCTGTGCCGGGGTCAGGACGAGCCAGCCAAAGATAAAGTAGACAAACGTCTGGACTGCCCAGGCGACAATCATGGCCTTGACCAAGAAGAGCGGGTTGGCGCTCATGACGAGAATGACAATGCCGTACAAGAAGAGAATCCAGTCGTTCAAGATGAGGGCAACGTCGTACAGCGCGACCACACGCGCCCAGAAGCCAGTCCAGCAGGTGATTGCGCGCAGGGTGAAAATCATCTTCAGGTACTTCCACAAAAAGCGCTGACGCGAGACCTCCCAGCCCTTGCCGCGCTGCAAAAAGAGCGACGGCTCACCGCAGTCACACGACGGGGGCTTGTACCACCGATGCATGAACGATGGCACAATGTCTCGCGAGTGGAACCAGCACAGCGGCACATCCGTGCCAACGACAATCGTGGCGGCAGTGTCGACCTTGTAGCCAGCTTCATGCTTGCGCGACTCGTCCAGAATCCACGGCCGCTTGGCCAGCGAGTGCAAAAGCAGACCTTGCTGCAAGTCGTCGCCGTGATGCATCGTGTCGTGTCGGAACAAGATGTCGGTAATGTACTCTGTGCGCCAAGTGTTGAACGCACCCGACGCGAACAGGGCAGTGCCGAGGCGGGCTTGCACCACCTTCATGTAGCCGGCAAGCAAGTACTCGAGGTCTTGGAAGTACGCAAGGGTGTGGACGGTGTTGCGTGCATGCAGAGGGTAGGCCAGGCACTTGACGTGCTCGTTTCGATCAAAGTAGCCAACGACCTCGGCTTCAGTCCAGTTGTCTGGCACAATCGTGTCGTCGTCGATGAGCGTCACAAAGTCAATCTGAGTCGGGTAGTTGCGCAAGTTGAAGACCGAGGCAAACTGCGCGACAGTCTTGGAGCCTTCCGTGAGCGTGCCAAAGTTGACGCCGCGTCCGCGGTAGTTTGGATGCGACTTGCTGTACACGGCCGACAACGCCTTGCACTCTTCTTCGGTGGCAATTCGCTCCTTTTCCGAGGAGCCGTTGTCAGCAACAAAGATTTGCCACGGCTCCGATCGCTTCATAATGTTGATGATGGTGTTGCGGATTTTGGCCGAGCTGTTGTGGCAAGAGATGATGAAGGCATGGCGGCCAACCTTGGGCTTGTCGCCAGCAGCAGCAGCAGCAGTAGCAGCCGTGTCCTGATCTTTGGTGGACGCGATCGGAACGACGACAGCAGCAGTTCCCTTGATCGGAGGGCAAGTTGCGGCGAGCATGGCGGCTGTTCCGGCATCTGCGGCAGGCACCGGAGCGGGCTTTGGCCAACGAATGAAGAGAGCAAGACACAAGAGCAGGATGGCATCGTAGTTGAGCAAGAGCATGTAGAAGACAAATTGGAAGATTTGGTCTTCCATGGTGCCCGAGTTTGATCCGTTGCCATCGACCGTGTTGGAAAAGTCCTTGACAACCTGGAACATGTCCTTGCCCGTGGAGACAGACACGACATACACGGTGATGAGGATGCAGGCCAGCAGAGCGACCGCAAGACCTTGCAGGACGCCAATGCTGCGATCGGTGCGCGACTTGCGGTAGGTGTAGCAGTACATGATGCGCGAGACGACAGGGCGAATGACGCCGACAATCGCCAGCATGCCCGTGACAAACAAGATGGAGCCGAGCAGCAGGTTGGAAAGCACGTCGCCGAGAAGATTGCTCGTCTCGGTCGGGCACTCGCAGTACTCTTGAACAAGACCGTCCAGTCCGTAAATCGGGCTGTCGCCAAGGTTGCGGCTCGCTTTGAAGGCTTGAGCGACAATCACGGCAGACTTTTTGACGCGCTCGCAAAAGCAAGGCAACGTCCATGTCGGCATGTCGAAGAACTTTTTGTCGTCCTTGGCATGGTTGAACACGGTTTGGAAGCCAACGCCCGGAGACGTCTCAAAGTTGTACCCCAGAGTGCGGGCAGAGCCGGTGAGTGTGTAGACCTGGCGAGTGCTGGGGTCGGAAAAGCCAAGCATCATCCACGGGACGCGAATCTCAAAAATGCTGCCATTGGACTGCCAGGTGGCCATGTTGTTAAAGTACGGGTCGGTGAAGTCTGTCGTGCCACGAATCATTTCGCCGCCAATAAAGACCTCGGGCGGCGTGTCGATGGAGCTACCGTCGGGCATGATGTACTCTGCCGGGTTTTTCGTGATTTGCGTCCACTTGGAAAACAGGCCGCGGCGGGAATCGTACAGAGTGGTCGCGTCTTCGATGGCGCCCACCCACTCACCAGGACCACGGAGGTAGAGGTCAAAGTAGCCGTTCAGGTACATGTTGACTGCGTTTCCAGTGAACGAGAAGGCGTACTCGACGGGAATGTCGTACAGCGTGTTGTCGTCCTGGGCGTTGATCGAGAAGGAGCCTTGGGAGGCGACAGTGTCAAACGCAACCCAGAGCTCGTCGGTGGGCAGCCAGTTGCCGTTGCGCTCAACCATAATGTACAAGAAGGAGGCGTCCGATCGCATATGCATGCGGCGCAGGCCAGTGCTGAGGGCAGTGGCAGCCAGGTAGTTTGGCATGGTGGTTGGCCAGTCGTTTGCCAGGCCGTCGACAGTGATGGTTTGCGGGACCTCGGCGGCAATCAGGCCGTAGAATTGTTCGGAACTCATGTGGTTGTGCCACACCTTGCGGTTGACGTCGACCTTGAGCGTGTTCCAGTTCTTCTTGAACCACTCGTCAATGAGCTGGAAGAGGCAGATGCCCTGGATGTTGACCTGCTGGAGAATCTGGATGATGCTTGCCATGAACTGGCCTTGCTGGACTTCCGTCATGGAGCCGTGGTTGCGACCCTTGTAGCCAAAGTGCGAGTTGCCGATGGAGGTTGGAAGACCCACTTCAGTAATGATCAGAGCTTGGCCGGGGAAGTACGCGCGAAGGCGGAGAAGATAGCCAATGTACGGGTCGGCTTGGTCGACGTTCGGAATCCACGGAATGTTGTCGCGAGGATCGATAAAGTTCATGTATTCCGGGTAGTAAGGGTAGGCGTGGAAGTTGATAAACGAGCCGGCCGTCCAGCCAGAGCTGACAATGATGTGCAGCGCGTCCACAGTCTGCCAGTCTTCCTGAGAGATGGGCGGGCCTGGCTCGGACGGGTGGACGAGGGGATCGGTCGTGACCCAGTTCACAAAGGAGGCCGGGTGAAGCATTCCGTAGCCGTGGTCCAACTTGAGGAGAAGGTCCAGCATCATGCCAACCCAGCTTTCAAACGGCGATGCAGCCGCAGTGCACGCGACAAAGGTGCCCTGGTACGGCGCGAGGCCAGCGTTCAAAACATTGGTCACATTGACGGCGAACGGGTACCACTCTGTGCCCATCAGCCATCCAACAACCCACTGAGAAATGTCAGTGCTGTAGGTGCCCGACTTGTGGAAGGCGTAGGTGATTTCATCGCCGCGTCCGTACACGGCGGAGAGGACATTCCGAATGTTGGTTTCCATGATTTCCTTGATGTCGGCGTCGTAGGCGTTGCGGCCGTTGTTGTCGTCACCAATCAGTTCTTCTTCGGGCGTCCAGATGCCGTGCAGAACATAGATGGGGTCTGTGGTGCCAGCATTGAACTCGGCAACAGCCTCGTAAAACTCGGGGGTCAGGACGGTGTACACACGAACCACGTTCGAGTAGACGCTCTGCATGTACTTGAACGCGCGAATGTACTCGCCCTTGGTCAGCGGGAGTTCACCGGGGTCGTATCCAGGCTTGGTCGCACCCAAGTTCATGCCGGCAACAAAGCCAAAGGTAATCCAGCCGTCCGTCGACCCAGGAGCGCCGACGCCGACAAACTCCTCAAAGAATCCGTTGGTCACGCGAAAGCTGTACGAAACCGTTTTGCCGTTCACCACAGAGGTCGTTTTGGCCATCTGGGCAGCGTCAACCGACATGGCAACGACAGCAGCGAGAAATAGGACGACAGCGGCCATCATGAAGGGCAGTCCCGCCAGAGATGGCACGCGAGCCTTCTGCCGAGACAGCATTCGTCGAGTTGTCAACCGGAGCGAGGTGTGCCTAAGCAGGAGCAAGGATGAAGATGCGGTTTTGCGTTCGACTCTATGTCAAGGAAACGAATAAGAGTGAGTAAGGTGGTCATCGAACGAATAGGCAGTATGACGGGAGCAGCAACGACAACAAGGAGGGGGATGGGCGGGTGAAAAAAAGCCCGAGAGACAAAATAAGTGCGTGGGAGGAGGAAGTCAAGGTCGAACGAGCGTTGTAGAATTACACGCCAGGGGCTCCAACGTCTTAAACAAGGCACAATCGTTAAAGACGCAGCGTTGCAGCACCGCTGGATGTGGCAAGAACGCGTCTCGCAGCATCCACCGACCAGCAGGATGAAGACAAAAGAAGAATCCAACGAGAGTAAAGAGGAAGAAGATATGAGTTTTGTTTGTCAACTATTTTTGACGGTTTCGTTTTTTTTTTTTCTTTTTCCATACCACTTGATTGGGGTGGTACCACACGCCCGGGTGGGGAGCTTCTTACTCTTGCAGCTCCAGCTAGCTCGAAGCTGGAGTTGTGAACCCATCCACAAAGCTCAATACCATGGCGAGAAGAGTGTGCATGACAAAGAAGCAAAACTCACCGTTGGCCTTGGCGGAGAATGCAAGACCCAAGAAGCCAAGACGTGAAACCTCAAGAAAAAAAGAAAAGGACAAAAAGAAAACGCTCGTTGATTCAACGCAAGGGAGCAAGCGATTGAAGGGACCAGCCGAGCGGAAACACGGGTTGTTGAATGCACACTGGAAGCTAGAATGACACACGCACACTGGTAGAATCGCTCAACAGGTGCCTGCGAGACGATCGATCAAATGGAGGATGCTGTTTGACAATAAAAATTACAATAACGCAAGAAATGAGGAGTGATCAATTCCAAACAAAGATGCATCGGGTAGGAAGGCGAAACCAAAAAAAAAAAAAAACCCGGCTAAAATCAAAAATCTCGAAATCGTCAACCACACAACCGCACAATCAATTTCTCCAAAGGTTGTGTCGACCACACCCACGTATGTGGCTCTCTTTGATCGTTAAAAACGCAGAGCGTAGGTGAAGCGTACAATGTTGGAAGAAGCAGCGAAAGAAAACAAAAAAACCAAGTGACGCACTCTGGCTTCCTAACTCATCGACCCATCATCGAACCATCAATCGATGAGAAGATCGCGTGGGAAACATCACAGAGAAGGTTCAATGATGTACAGAGAACGCAGTGGCCGTCTGATGTTCGATTCATGATGTGACAAACTCGGTCGCATCCTTTGAACACCCCAATCTTGAAACACCAACCAAAAACAAAAAAGGCCAAAAACCGAGTCACTCCCACTCCCCTCCCACTCTGTTGCATCCGACTCGCAAGTGCTCAGGTCGCTCAATTGCCGCTGTTGGATGGAGCAGTAGGCTGTGAATCAAGTGCTGCGCTCATTGGTTGGAATGGGAGGGAATACGCGATTTGAGCGCGCATCGTTGAACCACGCGAAAGGAGGAAGTTCCCGTTTTAGAAGCGAGAATCAAGCCGTGCACACGAGAGCTGAGATTGCGTGTCATCTCCCGCCTTATACGTGTTCCTACATGATCCTGTGGAGTGCTTTGGATGTCCACACCCCCCGACTCGCCATCGATCGCACCTGAAGCAGTGTGAAAATGAGGTATCACCCCCTGGTCCGAACAATCATCCGCGGTGCGTTTGCACCATTCTCAATCCCCGTTTCACAATCATGAAACGAACATCTGTACGTGTGTGTCTGTGTGTGTGTGTGTACGTGTAGAAACCTCATTGGGAAACCCAGATGGATGATGAACTTACATGACACGGCGTGTTGAAACCTCAAAATCTGCGAACGCGTTGGAAGCTGGAATCCATGAATCAATTTGTTGCAGATTTGAAGCTGAGGGCAATGCAACTGGTAGAAGACACAGGAAAGCAAGGAGGAACGCGAGCAAAGGAAAAAAAGATCAAGCAAAAAAGAAATGAAAAACAGAGGAGTGGGGGGGGGGATAAACAATGAGGGCTAAGAATGAAGATTAAAGATGAAGACTGACGGACGACTTGTCAAATGTTGTCATTTCCTACTGGTCCTTAATGCAACGTAATTTATTGTCTGTCGAAACACACTGGTGTCGAACAGATCATTCTCGAGCATCGACCATGGCACAAAACGTCTGGTCGTTGTCAACAAGCGCGGCAGGATCGGCCAGACTGACCGCGATCCAAGCCACGCGGCGGTTCAAGTCGTCGAATCATTATAAACAAAGAAAAAAGTAATCAAAATAATCATGATGCTCAAACGAGATAAAGCGGATTTACCACCACGCCTTCAACCACAGAGTGGCTTGTTCAAAAAACAAAAAAGGCGCAGACGAGCTGACAAGCTCACACAGAGACTGATGGTTTGAAATCAAGAAATGAAAACGGAGACGGATAGACTGAAAATCAAGGACCCAAGCAAGAGGATATCAATGACAGAAATGCCGGTGTGCGTAACAGTAATAATGGTATCTGAAAGAACCAAAGAGAGTAGGAGAATACAAGTAAAATGTAGAGAGAGCGAGGGAGAAGGGGGGGGGGTTGTAATCTTGTTGTTGTAATAACCAAAAGCACGCTAGGAAGAGGCGAGAAGAAAAAAAACAAGAAAACAAGACAGAAAGCAAGAGCAGAGGAAGAGGAAGACCTTATGAATGGCGCCCACACAAAAAGAAATCAAAGGCAGCCGCGCGGAGCCTGCGTGTGTTTTTAGGTGGCAGAGACCTTTGAGAAGGAGACGCGCAGATAGTTGGTCGGCCCAATCTTAAAGTTATTCATGTGGACGAGCGCTTGCATGGCCTCGTCGGTGGAGCCAAACTTGACAACGCCCATCTTGTGGTTGTTAGGGAAGAGACGGAAGAGAACGACGGGGGCATACTTGCCAAACTCGGCAACGAGATCGGCCTCGGGGTAGTTGTCGGGAATGTTGGACACGTGCAGGGTGTCGATGGGCGGGCAAATGTTGGCAAAGTTCTTCGAGTTGGGGACCTTGAAGCGGTGCAGGGGCGAGTTGATGTACTCCTTGGTCAGCTCGAAGGCCGACTCCTCAGAGCCCGAGCGAGGGAGGGCGACAGCGTTGTGCTTGGACAGGCTGAGACGCATCTCCTTGCCGTAAAAGGTCTGCATGTTGAGGTTGTGGATGGCAGTCTGGGCCTGTTGCGAATCGGTGACCTGGACAAGAGCAGTGTCCTTCTTGTTGTAGAGGATCTTGACGCGGTGGACGTCAGCGTAAGTGCCAATGATCATGAAGAGAATGTCGGGGGTGACGTGTTGATCGTTCAGGTTGCTGACGAGGATAATGTTGCGGGCATTGTTGCCAGCAGCAGCGCCGTACGCACCAGCGTTGACAGCGTTGTTGCCGCCAAAGACGCCGGCGGCGGGGCCGGCAGAGTAGCCAGCGGGACCGCCATAGCCGCCCTGCTGGGCACCAGCCTGGTAGCCGCCATAGGCGTTGCCACCATAGTTGCCAATGCGGCCGCCGGCAGCACCGGCAGTGTTTGCAGCGGCGCCGAACGGAGTGTTGTCGCCAGTCGGGAGGTTGGGGTTGGTGTAGTCTCGGCACTTGTCGTTGTTGAAGCGAACGTTGAGCTCGTCAAGACGCGAGTAAAAGATGCGGAGCTGGCAGCAGCCAGTGTAGATGCTCTGGCCGTCGAGCGACGACTTGGCGTTCTTGGCAGAGTTCAGGTCGGCGTACTGGATGAAGGCCTGGAAGAGGTTGTTCTTGTTGAAGGTGATGATGCGGAGGACGTTGCCAAACTTGGAGAAGATCTGGTGGAGGACATCCAGCGTCACGACGTACAGAACGTTGTGAATCTCAACGCGGAGCACGGGCTTGGGCTCGAACGACGAGTCGTTGTTGCCGCTGTGGCTGCCGCTCGCTGCAGCGCCACCGTGGTGCTGCTCGTTGCGCTTGAGCTGGACGTGGTTGGAGGGCTGGAAGTAGACGCGGCGGCCGCGGATAAACTGGGGGTTGGCCTCCGACGCCGCGAGCAGGTTTTTGGCGGCATCGAGCTGCTCCATCTCGATAAAGCCCTGGCCCTTGTTGTGGAGCAGGAGCGTGTTGGCCACGGGGCCGTACTTGGCGCCAATGGCAATCAGCTCGGGCTCGGTGACATCGAGCGGCATGTTGCGCACATGCAGCACCTTGCCGAGCTCACCCGCGGGCGCAGCAGAGGACATGGCGTCCTGACCGTCAACACTCGGATCCATTCGCACGCGCTTTGGTTCGGAAACCTGTGGAGAGTCGCTGTCAGTGGTGGAGGAAGGGTAGTGGGAGTTCTCGGCGCTAGTGTCGTTCACGCGTTTGGTCGCAACGCTGCAAGGAAGCAAAGGGGGGAGAAGAGAGAAGAAGCAGGCGTTAGTTTAGACGGGAGACAGCCTGGGAGGGCGGGGAGAGGAAGGACAAGGACAAGGACAAGGAAAAAAAAAAAAAAAAAGGCCAATAAACTCACGAGTCCATGACTGAAGAGAAGAGCAAAGAGCACATGTTGAAGACGAGATGGAAGAAGAGAGAGAATGTGTGTGTGTCCAACGAGACAAAGACGAGCGACGCAGAGCAAAAAACTCAGCCACAAGTACGACGATGACAATCAAGATGTGAATAGGAAAGAAGAAGAAAAAAGCAGAAAAAAAAAAAAAAAAACGAAGAGAGACAGTGAAATGAGCATTGTTCAGCCTTTCATTGTTGCGTTTTGGCCAAAACATCAAAAGACCTCGCAAATGCGGACAAATGGCTTCATCCATTCTCATACGTCCGATTCCGCATCTTCATGTGTTTTTGCTCGACTGCTTGCAGCGAGCATCGGAACCCCGAGATCGCCGAATCTCACGAAAGCCTCGTCCTGCCACCCGGAGGCACGGGTCTGCCGAATGAACACCATGGCAAGGCATTTCAATGCGGTGTTTTCATCATGTCTGCCTGAATGGTCGCACTGCAGCGAGAGCAGCCCAGCATCAAAAACGCCGTCGTCATTGAGCCACCATTACACAATGCCTTTGCAAAGCACATGGAAAAAAAAAAGAGGAAAAAATGATTTTTTTTCCACTTGTTCGGTTGAGCCAGATCGCCAGTGAGTCGCGTGACGCTGTGGCACGGCCGAGTAGGTTGGCTGCAATGCGATTCTCCTGCTCCACTCGACACGTCGCCTGGAACGGCCGCCGACACGAATGAACAAAAAAGCGTCAAAAGACAATTGAAAAAAAAAAAAAAAAAAAGGGATCCATGAAACGCGACACTTTCAACACGATCGGCTTTGCAGCAGGCGAGGAACGCGATGCAATGGAGGGATGGCAACACGACGCAAGTGCTGAGAGGTGGCTGAGGCTTCAGTGAGCGGCGGATGGAGAACCAGCTTCCCATCAGAAACAGCCACTGACAAAAAGGCTGCTGAAACGAACACAAAGCAAACAGCGAGGCCTTTTTTTTTTTTTTTTTTTTTTTTTTTTTTTTTTTTTTTTTTTGTTCTGAATTTACCGAAATCAACACAAATAAAGCGAGGAGTGAATTTTCTCGTCCAACTTTGACCTGCGATTTGCGTATGATTTGCATTGGTGAAAAACTCACCATCATACAAACGATGAATAGAACTCGTGGAGATTGAAAGTCGCATCAAATCCCCCCAAAATGGAGCTTGGCGCAGTCCATTCAGCACGTTCAAGTTGGCTGCAAAATTTCCCATGCCTACCGTTGCGGACGAAATCTCGAATGTCATCTTGCCGGCCATCAAGGCAACCGCAAAGGTAGCCGATAGGAAATCCGCACCAGCGTGTGCACCGGGTAGAGAGAGGGGCAACCAGGAGACGAACAACAGCAGGTTGAGAGATAAAGTATGGGAAAATCGAGGAAAAGAGCTCGAAAAAAACTTGGACAAACCTGGGTTGAATTCACATCGATCAAAACGAACGTGACGCCATCGCAGACTGGACCTCGTCCTAGTCCAATGCTGATTCGAATGATCCAAGAAGTGCTATGCTCGAATCGAGGGTGATGGCGGCGAAGGGACAATCCTTCGGTGGAGACGGCGCGAGAACAAGAACGCAAGTTGGGCGGTGGCGTTTTTTGATGGATGTGAGCTCTGATCACGGAGGTATCATCTCGCCCTCTCTCTCTCTCTCTCTCTCTCTCTCTCTCTGGGAGTGTTTTGCGTGTTCACACACTGGTCCCAGCAGTCATTCGGGGCGCATTAAGCCACGTTGGCATCCGGAAGAATGACAGAAAGAGCTAGGATTGTGCTCCATCCAGCCCAAACAGACAAAACCTGCGCTCACTCTTCTGACTTGCATTCATCCAGGTCATCCTCCTTGCCGCGGTCGGTGTGGCTGCAAAGCGATTAGGCATTCTGAACTCGGAAACATCCACCAGACTTTCAAAGCTTGTGCTCAACTTTGCCGTTCCAGCGTTGACTTTCGTCTCCATCGCTCATGCCATCACATTTGATAACATCAAGGAGCTTTGGCCACTGCCGCTTTTTGGATTGCTCTACATTTGCCTCGGGATGGTAACGAAAGTTTGATGTTGGATTGTGAATTGTTTGTGAAAACCTGGCTTTGACCCGACGCTCCTCGCTCTTAGGCTTTCGGATGGATTATTTGCCGCATTTGTCGGTTCCCAAAGGCCATCCGGAATCTTGTGATGGTTTGCTGCGCGTTTGGGAATTCCCAGACCATTCCGCTGGCGCTGGTGTCGTCGCTGGCGCACTCGGTGGCTCAGCTCAAGCAGAGTGATACCGACACGCCCGCGGCTATTATCGCGCGTGGTACGTCGTACATTATGCTGTACACGCTGATTGGAACCATTCTTCGATGGTCGTTCGCCTACAAGCTGCTCAACCCGTCGCCGCAAACGCGAGCAGACGAACTCGAGCGGCAACATCGATTAACCCACCGACTGTCGGTGGACCAGATTGCCACTCTGGATGGCCACCCGACAGTTCGCCCATCGGGCACCGAATCCGTAGCTGCCGTTCACGGGAGTGTGGACGGGAGCGATGACACGCCGGCTGTTCCCGACCGACTCAGCCCGTCGAACAGCCGCGATCTGCTCATCCAAACGCTCGAGATACACTCAGCCGTGGGTAGCTCACAGCCATCGACTCTTCTAGCTGCTGCTGCATCTGTTCCTACGACGCCTCCTGCCTCTGTGCGTGCCAGAATTGGTTGTGCTTTCCGCCGCGTCTTGTCAACATTCACTCCTCCGGTTTGGGCCATCGTGTTGGGCTTGATTGTCGCGGTGGCTGCGCCCCTCAAGAACGCCTTCTTTCCAGCAGAAACAGCATCGAGCTCGACCCCACCGCTTGACTTTCTTGCAGATACACTCCAGACGCTGGGCAACGTTGTTGTTCCGGCAATCATGCTGATTCTCGGAGAGCAACTCTCGCGCGGGCCGTTGCAACTGACGTACATCCAATGGCATCGAATGTGGTCGTGCTGCAAAAAGCCGCACAAGCGAGCGTTTTCTCAAGGCAGCCTCAAATCGCGCATGCAAACGTGCTGGAATTCTTGCTGGAACCGCGATCGACAGCAACACAACTCTGACAACGAACAGCTCACTCTTGTCGAGTCTTCCTCGTCATATTCAGTCATGCATGAAAAGATCGGGGGTTTGGAGTCCTCTGCCGATGTCTGCATGCCTCCAGAGTCCGCTCAACAACAACAACAACGCAGCGTCATTACCACTCCGCTGAGTGTGGGCTCCGTCCTCGCCATCGTCATTGTCAAACTTGTCATCCTGCCCGGCATCGCCATCCCGCTGACAATGCTGTTCAACAAGATCGGACTACTCGGTAGTGATCCTGTCTTGCACTTTGTTGTGCTGTTGGAGTCGTGTGTTCCGACGGGAATCAACCTCGTTGTCATTTGCGCCTCGCACAATTGGTTGCAACGCGAGCTGACAACAGTGCTGTTCTACCAGTACCTGATAGCCATCCTTTCCATCACTTTGATGACCACTGGGTTTCTTGTCACATTGTAGCCTGCCTGCCTTGAAAAAGCATTTTACAAACCACTGCATGAAAACATAATAGAGCAAACATTATGGATTATCGCGTACAGGCATGAACACCAAAACAAAACCCTCGTCTTGTCCGATGACTAAGCGCGTAGCAAATCGGGCAAGAGAAGGACAAGCAAACCGCAACAAACAAATTCAAATAACACCAAATAGACGAAAATAGCAGGATTAGAGTGGGTGCAGCGTTCAAGACGACGCGGCCAAAATTTCATTGCGCTTGTTGAATGCCTCGAGGTAGAGCTCCAAGCATTGAACAATGTCAAACATCTGCACAAAGTGAAGGGGGGGGAGAGAAAAAAAAAGTGAGACAATCGTCGCAACCTTGACAAGAAAAACGGCAAACGAAACAACAACAAGAACAACAAGAAAATCGTACCTCGTCCGAGTTGACGCGCACATTGCGCGACTTGCCAGCGGCATCCGTCACCTTCAAGTTGAGCGAAGGCGCGGCAGTCGCTCCAACGTCGCTTTGCTGCTCACGGTAGTTGGTGAGCTCCTTGAAATCGATAATTTCGAGGGAGGACTTGGACTTGGGGTCGAGGAAGGACATCTTGGACGTGCTGAGGAGAGCAATGACACCAGTGTACGTGTCGCCGTGCGAGTCTTGCAGCTTGGACACGTTGTAGACGTTCGTTGCAATGTGCGGCCAAGCCATGACCTCTGTCAAGAAGTGCTGCATGGCGGCCTCGTGATCCATGTCTTTGATGTACTTGTTCTGAGCAAAGACGCGTGTTTCCCATTCGTCTTGCCGCATGAACGTGCGCAATTCTCGCGGAATGTACTTGCCCCATCGCCACTGGATGCCAGCTTGCAGCTTTTCATGTCCGCACACGTGCTGATGCACGTTCCAGTCCTTTTGCTGGCACTCGCGGCTGCAATACGACGCCAGCTTGCAACCGCTGCAGCGCTTGCTGGCAGGGTTGTTGCAAACGCTGCAGACGTTCGACATGAAGGCCTGCATGTCGTGGTTTTCGACGCGGTACTGCAGCGCGGCGAGTTTCGCCACTTGGTCCACATCGACCTTGTGGTGGCCCTTGAGGTATCGATCGAGAACCTGAGGTGAGCAAGCCAAGAAGGGGAAGTTGAAATGAACAAATAGCAAAGCAAATTGGTTGTGAGATTCGGCCCCATAGGAAAGAATAGTAACGCATTGCATTCAATGTCTCGCAAGTTCTCCTCTTCCTTCTTTACCTGATAATACATGATCTCAGCCAGGAAACCACCGCGCTTCCACTCCTCGTTCGTGAGCCAGAACTTTTTGCGGAATTGCACGCCAACAGGGGCATGCCACTTGGCAGCAGCATGGTTGAGAGCGTCGAACACGTAGGCCTTGTTGTCGATCGGGATGGGCTCGACTGTCATTGGGAAAAAAAAAACACAAGAAAACAAAATGAGACACCGCGCACCGTGCACCACTGCACAGTCCTCGACAAAATCTTACTATCAGGGTTGCTCAAATTCAAAGCCCACAGGCCCCACTCGGACGGGTTGGGAATCTGGACGCGAGAGCAGACCAATCCAACAAAGTCCTTGACGTTGACCACGTTCGTAACGTGAATGTTCTTGGTGGCGGTCGTGCCCATAAAGACCGTCTTGATTGACAAGGGGGTCTCGTGCTGTGGGAGAGAACATGTACAAGGTGAGTTTCGAGCAAACCGCATCAACCAGGCGTCAAAATCGCCTTCTCCCGAAAAAACAAAGTCCATACCTCAAGACTGTCGAGCTCGGCAGCGGATGGGCCAGTCGCGCGTTGTCCAAGACGCTTGAGTGCTATCAAGCGCTTCTCGCAAATAGCGGCAACGTCGTAGAATGGTCGCTTTTTGTCAGCAGCGCAATCACGGAGGAACTTTTTGAGATACATTTCAAACCGAGGGGAAGGCTGGAAGAAGTTCGTGCATGCCAGCATGACGACCCAACCACGGCCACAGCTCTCTCTGCCGAACGAAGAAAGAAAAAAAAAACAAGAACAAAGACGTGAATGCAACAACATTAGAACAAGAAGCAAAACAAAACCACTATTGTCTGTTCGCTCGTCCCCTCAATCGTTCAGACCGACGTACTGCTGCTTGCTTCGGTTGGAAATGGTCTGTTTGATGATTTGACAGTAAATTTCATCGCGCAGCGTGGGTGCGGCCAAGGCAGCGTTGATAATCGATGCGATCGGATGAACGTCGCCACGAGATCGCTTCGGCATGTCGCCCATAAAGACCATGAGATCTGCCAAGATTGAAAAACGCTACGTCAGAACAAGAAACAAAAGAGCAAGATGTGCAAATGGAACGACCCCTTACTTCGGAAGCAGTTGACAGCTTGGCGAGAATCGGCGTCGGACATTTGCTTGTGGAGCGCGGATTTGATGGGGTTCTGAAAGAGAGCGAGCAAAAACATCTCGGTAAGCCAAACCGGCGCACAAACACAACCATGAACGCACAAATCAACACCACCACAACCAACCTCGGAAAACTTAATCTTCTCGGCAATCGAACCGATACCCCAGGTTGAAAGGCTCGGGCCGTTGCCTTTGCGAATGCGGACGGAGGGTTTTTTGAACTCGACATCGTCGCCAAAGTTCTCCTTGACGTACTCGAGCAAGTTGAACTTTTTGTCCTTGAACAGACCTTCCAGCGACTCGGCTTCGGCTGCAGCGCGAGCAGATTCACGCTTGGCGTCTTCTTCGGCAATGATGCGCGCAGCCTCTTCGGCCGCGCTGAGCTTGGTGACTGGCGCGGTCGCCTCGGACGAGCCGGCAGAAGCAGCAGCGCTGGCGTTGGCGGCGGCCTTTGGTCCGGCAACCTCCGTTTCGGTGCGGCCCAGCACGTCTTCGAGTGGCTTGCACAGCAGAATGTGCACATACGCACGGGGCACAAAGCCCTCCTTGCCGTTGATCTCGGCCTCAATCCACTCATCGTCGTGCTCGCCGACCTCGTCGTCCTGAATCTCATCGCTCGTCTCCTCGGGAATGACAGTAATCACATCGCCCTTCTTGAGCGGCAACAGGGTTGCGTCGTTGGCGTCATAGTCAAAGAGAGCAAGACCATAGCGAGCCTCCTTGTGCAAGTCCTCCATGTAGACTCGAAGCTTTCGGTTGATGGCAGGGCCGTCGTTGCGTTCGAGCTTGAAGGTCAGCTGCAGGTCGCGCACAAACTGGATCGTCCACAGCGCGTCCTTTTCCTGGAGCTTGGCGCCATGCGTCTTGATGACATTGTAGTCGCGGGTGTAGAGAATCGACTTGCGATCGAGGGAGCACACGTGGAAGCCGACCGTGTCCAACGCCAACAGCACCTCATCGCCCTTCTTGAACTTGAGCGGCGGCGTGACGTCCTGCGGGGCTTCGACCAGCGTGGCGCGGAAGGTGGAGGCAAAGTACGGTGTCTTGGCAATCGCACGATTAATGAGCAGCCACATGAGCGCCTGCTCGGTCGAGTCCTTGTACTTGGCCATGCCGTCGCGCAGCCGCGCGTCCGTCACAGACTTGTGGTGCTCGCGCGCGACGTTGGCTTGCACCCAGTCGGCGTTGATGACCGTTTTGGCATCCCGCCTCGTCTCGACCGCCGCAACCTGCGTCATGACATCGAGAATGGCGAGCGAATCCAGGGCGATTGCTCCAGTGACGAACGCACCGACAACCTGCGAGTAGAGAAGGCGCGTGGCGATCGGGTCGTCCAAGTGCAGCTTCTCGCTGAGCTGGTGCATGAAGCACTGCTTTTTAAAGTAGAACATGGGCGAGAAGGACTCGAGCTGGCCAGTCAGGAAGGCCTGCGCCTCGAACGCTGCCAACACGTCCAGAACAAAGTCATTGTCACGAATGCACAGCTCCAGAGGGCCGTTCACAAAGTAAATGGCAAAGCCGTCCGAGCGGGCCATCTTGACTGCCTTGGCGACCTTGGCACAAAGTTCATGCGTTTCCATGAGCGAGTCGACCATGACGGTGATGGACTGACCGTCCATCAAGTTGATCGGCAGTGCCACGTCCGAGCAAGTGCTGGAGGACTGCACTTCCAGGGCGCCGACCGCGTGCTTGCGGGGAGTTAGCAGCATGCAGGTCTTGTCGAGCCGAGCCTGGCAGAAAGGCTTGTAGTCGATAATGCCAAAGTCGAACGCCGCGTCAGCTTTGGCAATGAACGCTCGCACGCACTTGGCCAGGGGCACAGACGGCGGGAAGGAGCCCAGGAAGTTGGACAGGACGTGCCACGCAGCCTTGCGGCTGTCCTCGTTGGGGTTGGCAGAAATCTGCTTGAGAACCTGGCAGTACATTTCATCACCGAGACGCGGGTAGTCCAACACGGATGCAATCATGGACTGGATGGCGCCGGTTGGCTCCAGCATGGGATGGCCGGTGGCGCCGCCAATGACTTGGTTGAGCGAATCAAACATGAGCATGGCGACACCTTCCAGGTCGTCCGACAATCGCAAAAGCGAGGACGACAGGGAGAAAGGCTGGAAGGTCGCCGTCAGTCCCTTGTTGAAATGTGCAGCTGCAAACTCCTCAAAGGTGTTGGCACCGGCGATCTGCTTGCGCAACAGGGAGCCGACTGCCGGGCCGACGGCAGGACTGACGGAATCCATCGCGGAACTGCCCAGCAAGGAGAGCATGACGCGATCCATTTCTTTGCTCGAAATCTCGCCCTTCTGGACCAATTCGGTGGTGCGCTTGAGCTCCTTCTCGATGAGCTCGTGTTTGAAGCGGCGGTAGTCCTCGACATTCAGCTCGCCCGCGGACTGCGACATTTCAAGCAGCGTAATGCTCTCGGCCGCTGTGAGTCGGTTCTTGGTGGCGAAAGAGCCGCTGCGTTTGAGAGTGGACGAGTTGGCAAACTGGAGGAAGGACATTGGGCGCGTGCGCTTTGCAGCGGGAGCCGGGGTGTTGGCGTCGCCGCCCGAAGCAACGATGGCTGGTGCAGCAGCAGGTGCGCTGCTCTCGGTCGTCTCGGTAGTACTCGGCGAGATTGTAACAGTGACAGTGGGAATGGGCTCTGGCGGGGGCAGACCAGCGGCTTCCGCCTCGGCAGCGGCGGCGGCAGCAGCTTCGGCAGCAGCGGCAGCGGCAGCGGCAGCAGCAGCAGCTTCGGCCTCTGCGCGAATGCGAGCTTCCTCGGCCAGCCGAAGGCGCTCCGCTTCGAGGGCGGCCGCCTTGCGTGCTGCCTCGAGCATGATAAAGTAGCGGCGTCGCATGGCACAGCCGCGTGCGCGGGCTTGCATGCGAATAACAAGACGTCGCATCTTGACGTACGCCTTGTACATGAGGTGGCCGCGGTAGAAGACCTGGATGACCTTGATTGCGACACGGAACATGAGGAAGCGCTTGCGCGCCATGCGAGCGCGCCACCAGCTTTGCAGTCGAATCACGTTTGCCCGGAACTTGACTTCACGACGGCTCTCGAGAACCTTGTCCACGTGATCCTTGTAAAAGACTTTGGTCGAACCCATCTGTGCATTGGCGGGATTGGACGGGTCCACGCCGCACTGTTGCATGATGGAGCGAATGACGGGCGGCTCGCTGCCTGCCGCAACCTTGGTGCGGGGAGGGAGCAGCACGCGATAGCGGAACAGAAAATCTTGGAAGGGGCGACGCGCGGGATAGCCCATGCTGCGGATGCGGACGGTCTCCATCATGCCAGAGTAACGAAGCTGGTGCATGACAAGCGTCTTGTCGAATGCCGTCGGGACCTTGCTGGGATTCGGCTTGATGCAGCGCACAAAGAACGGGTTGCTCTCAAACAGAGTTTGCATGAGGTCTGACAGGGAGTTGTGGAATTGGAATCCGACCGTCACCTTGCCCTTGTTGCCAGCGTTGCCGCCCGCGCTCTTGGCACCCTTGACGTTCGAAACGACCGTTCCAGACGACGATGTGGAGCCTGCCGCGTCTTCGCCGAAGAAGCCAACAAAGATTTCGCGAAGGTGGCCGAGTTTGCTGGCGAGCAGCGTGTCGACCAGCGCCGGGCGCAGCGTGTCGCGGTTCTTTTCGAGGAAGCCGTCAACGCGGTAAAAGACCTCGCCGGCATAGTGGGCAATGCCAAAGGTCTCAGCGGCCTTCTTGTTCACGAGCAGGTTGGGGTCCTTTTCGTACTGCTTCTTGACCTTGGTGACGAACGTGACATCCGTGCACTGAGGGAAGCCACTTTCTTCGTCGAGCAGGGACAGGATACCAATCGGCTTTTTCGAAATCAAGTCCAAAATGGGCTGGTTGTCGATAAACTCAATCTGCTTCCAATCAATGCCCTCAGACGTGTATTCCTGCTGCTCGATCTTGAAAATGTGCTGATTAAAGTACTGCTGCAGACGCTCGTTGGCGTAGTTGATGAAGAATTGCTCAAAGCGATTGACCTGTTTTGGGAAGGAGGGAGGAGGAAGGAGGTGTCAGAGAAGGGTGGGGGAGGGGATGATGAGTCAGAATGCGAAAACAAAAAACATAAACAGCAAGAACAGCGAGGTGGGAACGGTACGAGTACCTCAAACACTTCAAAGCCGAAAATATCGAGAATGCCGACAAAACCAATGTTGGTGCCCTCCGCATGAATGTTGCGGTTGATTTCCTTGACAATCCAGGAAAACTGACGTCCGTAGATGGCCTTCGCAAGCGCATCGCGGGTGTCTTCCGCCTGCTTCTGATCGAGAGGCGTGTAAAAGACTTCGCCGCGCGTCTCTGTTGCTTTGAAGGTCAGGCTCTTCTTGAGGGCCTCTGCATCGACTTCAAGAAGCTTCAACACCTTGTCAAAGGCTGAGGGGCAATCGTTGTTGGTGAGTGCATGAGCCCCATATGTCAAAATCCCCCTCGCACTGCAACTTCTGGAACAAAAGGCGCGGCTTGCTTACCCGCAGCATTGCTCACGGCAGCACAGCTCATGCCGCCTTGGTCCGAGGTGGAGAAATCAATGTTGCCAATCTGCAGCACGGCGGCGACGGTTTTGAAAATGTCGTGGGTGCGGTCTTTGGCAAAGTTGAGCAGCTCGAGCGCCTCGAGAAGGGTGCGATACTCTTCCTTGTCGTCGCGTCCTTGCAGACCGCCTCCATCGCCATTTCCGAGATAGCGATAGGCCGAGGTCGGCTCAAGACACCAGGCAGCCTTCTGGTCGGGAGTGGTGCCCGCAATCAGATTGTAAAAGATGTGGTAGTTGCGCTCGTTCTGTGACTGGTAAATGATGCGCGACTTTTCAAGAAGATAGTCCGACACGGTGGCGCCCTGGATGGCGCCCGTTGCACCAAACAAGACCTTGACGAACTTGCCAAAGCGCGACGAGTTGTTGTTGCGCGCCGTTTTGGCGTTGCCGAACGCTTCGAGGATGGGATTGGCCATGAGAATCTGCTCCTCGACCAGCGAGTGCTTGCTATTCAGGTTGGCCAGGTACTGCAGAATGAATTTGGTCGACTCGGTCTTGCCAGCGCCAGATTCTCCACTGCGAAAGCAAAAAGCATTAAAAAGGTTGGAATTGGCAAATTTGCCCCATCCCCTCCCTCTCCCGGTTGTTACTGAGCTGTCGAGGACTGGAGCCAGCTGGCTTTGCTTGTCAACCCTACCTGATGACGACGCATTGATTGCGCCCATCCTTGAACAGCGACGTATACGTCCCATCGGCGATGGCAAAAATGTGCGGTGGCAAGTCGCCGATGCGCACGCCCTTGTATCTGCGGAAGACGTCGTTGCCGTAGATCGGGATGGACTTGTACGGGTTGACGGCGACCAAGATGGAGCCAGTGTACGTCTAGTGAAAAAGCGCAGAAGAATTCAACAGTTCAGCAAAAGCAGGTCAATTGCAGATCCCGCGCTCTCGCTCCGCTGCGACGATCACAGGTACACACTCGCTCGCACTGAGCATTGCAGTGCAATCGGAGCGCGCTTCTCCCAAAACTCCCCGAAATCGCGTCATCGTCCGTTGCAGAGTGGGTTTTCGATTAAGTGGTCTTTTTTTTTTTTTTTTTGGTTTTTTAAGCGTGTTTAACTCGTTCAGTCGGGTTGCACAACCGGCACTTTGGTTCTGAAAGCGTTTGGCTGTGGTCGTTGGGCAATGCAGTGAGCACGCGGCCGGGACCCTCGGACACCCCCCCCCCCCAAACAACACCAACAAAAAGGGTCAGATTCAGAGAGATCGAATCGCAGAAACGAAACCAAAATCACCTCTTTTTTTTTTTTTTTTTTTTTTTTTTTTTTTTTTTGTGTTGTGTTGTGTTGTGGTCGTTGTTGCCACTATGCGCAGTTGCGAAATCCGCGCCCCAAGGCAAGGCAAGGGGCCCCCACAGGCGTCCCCAGAAACAAAGAGGCAATTCTTGTATCGGTGTGCGATCTGGGCGAAGGCGGCAGCAGTGATGACGGTTACATAGACGAGACTCTCTTGGAATCGAACGTGCAGGTTGTTGAGGAGCGACTCTTCCTTGTAGTCCGGCAGCTGCGTCATATCGGCCGCGCCGACGCTCTTACTGCAAAGAGACCCCAAAGGGAAGCAAATCATTGAAGCAGAGACAACAATTCACACAAGCGTGAGTCACACGGACAGGCAGAGTGAGCCAAATCACAGTCAAAAGCAACCAAGAGCCCAAAAAAAAAAAAAAAAAAAAACCACAGTTCAAAAACCCACAAAACGCGCTCTTCATTCGACGACGCTTTTCGAGTGCGCTGCGTTCAAGTGTTGCAGCTGGATTGTGACGAGAGGACTTTGTCGGAAGAAGAAGAAGAAGGTGCGGGGAATTCCGAGGTGAGGTCTGTCGTCGTCGAAGAGAAAAGTGCGGGGGAGGGTTTTTTGTGTGATTGTCGATTGTCGGCTTTTCCGATACAGCGGCGCTTGCGGTTCTCTCGCTCGACCGACCGATCGCAGGGCAACGTTGAAAGTGTACAGCAAGAAAATGGGACATTGAAAACTCACTCAAGAAGCGACGCCATCGTGAAAGAAAAAAGAAGATGAAAGAAGAAAGAAAAAAGAAAGACTGAACAATCCAAAAAAAAAAAAATCCATTGCCGTTGTTATGGACCAAGATCTCAGTGAGCGCTTTTTTTGTGCTGCGGATCTGACGCGATATTAGGGTCTGTTGTTGATGTATATGCGATTCAGACACGGGGTCGAGGAGCCATGAACGGCGTAATGAAAATGCAGATAGAAGAAGAGAAACCAAGACCTAAAACCCGCTACACTGCGGTACTCTGACACGACGCAGGGATGGGAAAAGTTGCGGTTCTGGAGAGTTCTGCAGGTCGAGGGTTTCAAATGTAAAGCATCTTACACTGTGCAGCTCCCTGAACTATGATGGAACATGGGTGTTATGATCTGCGGTGGAAACGTCCACCATGCAGTTACCCGGAACCCAGAACAAAGCGCAAACACTGAACGTTGAACTGCCAGCACATGCAACTCGTCACATCTTCATTGCTGGCAGTGGACGCGAAACGAAGGGGCAATGCGTGAAGAATTTGTACAACACCGAAATCGACGCGCATCCCAAAAACAACCCAGAAACACATCAACCACGAAAAAGCAAACGAGAACAATCAGACAACAACCCAGAATATCAGACATTGTCTCATGAGAGTGCAGAATGAAGTATACAACAGGAAAAAGAAGAGAGAGGCATACGACCCAAAATCAACCCGAAAACTCGAAAATCGGTCTCATTGAAGGCTGAAAGGCAACGGCAATACGGGCGTAAACGCCATCGGAGGTGGGGTTGCGAGGCTCTGAGGGGTCACAGACTCGGCTGGAGTGGCGCAGAACGAGGGAGGCGTGGACCACTTGCGTTTGCTTGCAGACACTGGTGGAGCTCCGCTGCCCAGCTGGGCCACCTCGTCATACGCATTGAATCCAGTGTTCATCAACGCCTTGTAGTCGACGGACTTGCGGTTGCGGCGACCCTTGCCATCGGTGCTTTCCTCGGCTGGTGTGGCCGGGTCAACTGCGCTGCCGTTTGCCGGCGCGCCCCATCCATGCGTTTGAACAAGCTTGATCTGCAGCACAAGAACAATGTCAGATTCGCACAGCCAGCAAAGCCGCAGCCAACCAACCGAAACAGACTCTGGTGGTCATACCATTTCACGACGAGCCCGTTCCAGCGCAGTGGATTCATCGAGAATATCCTCACGCTTGACCGTCTTGCGGAAGCCGTCATCGAATATCAGGCTGTATGTGACGACGGTATGTTGCTTGGCGCAGTTGAGCAGCTCGCGCGTCGCTTTGACGCGGCAGTTTGGTGCGCCCGTTGGCCAGACCTGCCATTCCAACAAAGAGAAGGTTGGCAAGAAGATGAGCGGATGTTAGATTGCTTTCAACAATAAGAACAGCCCCCCAATACTGACCGAATAAGCAGGATCCGAGCGCAGCGTGTCCATGTCCACAAACTCGACATCCTCTTCACTGATGCCATTCACCAGTTGACCGTCACGGCTGCGGAAAGTGGTTGTGCCGCCAGCTGAAACACTCTCAACCACGGCCTTGTAAAAGTCGTTCGCTTGCCATCGCGCCCATACGACTTGCCCTTGGGTGAAGGCGACCGTTTGCGAAGAAGTCAACGAGGAGACCTGCATCAAGAAACAACAGCAACAAACATAGAAATCAGAACAAATTCTCATCCACAGATTCAACGCTTGCAGCTGCAGGGCAGAGACGCACCTTGTACGGATTGTGGCGCTCGCAGAAAGCCTCAAACCGCTCAGAATCAAAGGCCATGGCAATTCCGTGCCGTTGCGCGCAGGTGACATGGAAGGCGGTGCTGCACTTTCCACGCTCGCACTGGATGCACGCACCTTTGGTCCCTCGCTTGGCAGGCAGTTGGAATCCCAGTCGCCTCGCCGCATCCGACGACGACGACGACGACGACGACGACTGACGACAGTAGGTGCATTTTAGCCCAAGCCGAGAACTTGGAACGTAGATCAAACCGCCGACCATGTCGAGCTTGGTGGGATCCAAAAAGTACATTTCCGAGACGCCAAATGCGCAAGCAACGTGGCACCAGGAGTTGTTCTCGGCAGGCTTGTAGGCGTCACCCACACAGGGGCACAGAATGCACTTTGGGTGGGAAGCACGGACCTTGCAGCGATCGCATGCCCAATGCGCGAGGTCTGCAACATCATCAACGGTGACACCGTAGCAGTCGGCGTGAACAGTCACGTGGCAGTACTGGCAGCGGACCATGCGCATGTCGCGAGGAACAGGAACGGCTGATGTCTCCTCCATCAGTTGCTCTTCATTGGCGGGTGGCGGGGAGGGCTCGGCGGGGTCGGAGGATGCAGGAGTGGCCTCGATGGAGGAAGCGCGGGGAGGCGCATCGCTATTGTTGGGGATTGCAGCGTGCGAGTGCTCTGCAGCGGCGACAGGAATCTCGCCATTGGAGGCAGAGGTTGCGCCGTTTGTTTGAGTGTGGATCGCATCGTGTGAAGCAGGTACTTCTTCCATCTTGACCGCAACAAGGCCATTCGTGGAGGGCGCGGCGATCGCCTCCAGGCTGGTACTCGTGCCGGGTGCTGGTGCTCGAGACAACTCGCTATTCGGGGACAGCGGCAGAATGGTTGTATCGATCATCAGCGGGGCAATGAACGTGTGCTGCAAATCCAATGGCAGGTCCAACGCCGACACATCTGTCGATTCCATGAGCCGGCCGACATCATTGCCAGACGGGTCGCCACTCTCCATGTTTGCGAGCAAATCGCCAAACATGGATGGGTGTGGAAGAGGTTGCTCGCCGCGGGGGCTTGGCTGCATGGGATTGGATGCAAAGCTGTTGTTGGTCTGAACGCTGAGGCTTTGGAAGAATGAGGGAGTCTTGCGCTGCTGCTCTGTCATCGGATTGACCTGATGCGGAGGTAGTAATTGGTGCTGTTGTTGTTGGTGTTGGAGCTGTTGTTGGTGTTGGAGCTGTTGTTGCTGCTGTTGCTGTTGTTGCTGCTGTTGTGCTTGCTGCCGTTTCTGATTTTGCTGCTGAGGTTGAGAAACGGCCTTCTGCACAAAGTTGGCATAGGGCGAGGCGGGAGCTGCACACGCTGGAACAAGGTCACCTTTGATGCGGCAGACACTGCAAATGTTCTTGCGGCAGACTTGGAAATTGTACTCGACCTCGTCGACGGAGAGCCAGCCGAAGGTTCGCGCTTGGGATTTAGGGAATGGAATGGAGGCCGTGTCATCCGTGCCCTCGCTGTCGTCGCCATCATCGTCGTCCGAGTCATCTTCGTCGTCGTCTTCTTCTTCTTCTTCTTCCTCTTCGTCGTCGCCATCGTGGTCATAAAGCCGAATGTGGTCGCCGTTGCCAAGCAAGTCCAGGGGAAGCTGAGGCGTGGACTGAACAGCCACCGCGGAGGATCCAGGCTGGACGCTGCCCAGGGCAACAGGATTGACATGATGAGAACTACGACCGCGGGAGGACTGCCAGGCTCGGTCAGGACAATCGCGCCGAATTTGCCGACGCAACTTTCGCAGCTGGCTTCTCCGGAGTGTGACTTCAGCCTCTGTCGATAACCGGCTGGGCTTTGGAAACAGGGCTACGGCGGGAGCGCCCGCGTTCAGAAAGACGCGATAGTCATCGTACGTAAAGACCTGGCCAGTGACGAGCACAACAGAGCTGCCAGGCTTGACCAACGGCGATATCTTTCGCCCTCGAGTGTCTCGCACGGGTCCTGCTCCTCCGACGACTCCTGCAAGCTCTCCAGATTGCGGATGGCTGAGGGCAGGTCGCTTGCGAGGCTTTTCCGAGATTGAGGCCATCGCGCGCTTTTGGGTAGGCACAGGAGCCGCAGAGTTGAAAGGGAACATCATTCCGTGCATGCCAGCAAACTGTTGTGCGGTCATATGCATACCATGCTGTTGTGGATACTGGGTAAATTGTTGAAAGTATTGCGGATACGGATGCTGCGGAGTGGGAAACTGCTGATATTGTTGTTGTTGTTGTTGTTGCTGCTGTTGTTGTTGCTGCTGTTGTTGTTGCTGTTGCTGCTGATGTTGCTGCACGGCAAGCGCCAAAGCTTCCTTCTCTCGCTTCTCTTGCAGTCTGGCCCACAATTCAGGGCGATACCGTTCGATAAAGTAGTCCATGTTAATCCGGACGGCGTCGGGAGTGCAGTTGCACAACTTTGCGTTGACCCCAAAGTCAATCCAGCGGTCGGAGGCAAAGTTGGTCGACTCGGCGCAGTTAAAGCCGTGGTTAAACCCGGCGTGGTAGGCGTACGGAAAGGTGACCATGAACTCGCCTTCCTCGTGCACAACCGAGTGGAAGGGAATCGAAAACTTTTGCAGCACCGTCGGCGAGAGCATGGCCATTTTGTGCCGCAAAAACTGGGGGCAGGCTTTGGCGTCGTCGCCGAAAAACCCTGCAGCGAGACGCTCCAGCCGCTGGCCGTGCTTTGGTGGGATGCAATACCACGTCTTGGGCGCGCCGGCGTGAATGTAATTGATCGAGTACAAATCCATGTCCTCGACATGCCAGCCAAACGTTGCGCGCCACATCCCAATGTACATGTACGGCGTGTTGACGCCCAGAATTTCAACTCCCTGGTTTGTTTGGAGCTCGTTCAAGACCGTTTTGAGTTTGGCCACGTTCCAGGTCGTGCATGCGTCGTCAAAAAACGAGCCGGGAATGTCGGCGCCGTAGATTGGCGGGTTGATGTTGATGCCGCGCCAATACGCGCGCTCGAGCTCCTGGTGCGACTTGGAGCTCGGCGGGCAAAACCTCTTCGAGTTGGCCAGCTCGCGATAGTCGCGCAGCGAGAGTTTCGGCCGCTCGAAATTCACAAGCGTGTAGCAGCCGTTCTGGCCTCGGAATGTTTGCTTGATTGGCGTCGAAATATTGAACGCATCAAAGTCGTATGGCGTTTGTCTTGCCTTCCAGCCGGGTGGCGGGATGATCTGAGAAAATGAAAATTGTGCGAAAAGGCAAACGAGTGAGTTTGAAATCTTTTTGAGGAAATCGATACCAAAATTGAGTGTGAATGTGCCATTGACATGTTTTCTCCTCGAATGGAATCGATGGGAGATTGTTCAACAACAAGGGAGAGAAGGCAAAAACGAGTGGGCGCTGCATTGGAGGTTGAACACAATCTCCAATTCCGCCCTTGTGCCGCCCCCCCCCCCCGCCTCAGTCGCCACTCAAACCAAACGCATTCAGCGTCGTCCAGTCCACGGATGGCTGTTGAGCTTTGTGATGCGAGTGAGGCGGCCCTCGTCTGCCACTATGTCGTTCGCTGTATCAGCGAGTCCAACTTCAACCTCGACCACCTCCTCGGCCTCGTCCCACTCCCCGCCTGCGAAATGCAACGACCCTTCTGAATGAGACTGGCTGGGGCCTCATGGACTGAGAGTGAGCAGCTCTCCAACGTTGTTATTCTGCACACCCCTGAGCGGCTGAGCCAAAAGGTCAAAACCCAGCGCGCTACCAACCTTGGCCAGGCCGATGTCAGCGGCGCCGTGCTGCTCCATGTACGCAATGTAGCCGTTAAAGTCGGCGAACTGTTCCGCGGTGGGTCGGAAGATGGGCACTCCGCCCGTTGAGTACGAGTCAGCCATTCTGATATCCGCAATGGTCGCCTCAGTCAAACAGTCAAAGTCGAGATTTTTCCAAGTTTTTATGGTTGCAGCATGTAATAGAAATAGAAGAGTGGCATATCTTGTAACTGTATGTACAGTAGTAATACGTTCAACGACATCCACATCCACATCCGCGAGATAGCGTTTCAATGCAATTTCAATGACAGACGATGTTTGCTACTCTTTCTTTTTGCTCGCTCAGAGTGACGCAAAAAATGTCGGACAATCATAGTCACAATAATAGCAGCAGCGTTGCGAGTGAGGGCGACGGCGCTGTGCTTTCGGCCGACCCGTTGATTCACCCGACCGCTGGCAAGACGTGCATATGCGCCCGACGAGCAAGCCGAGCAAAGCGAAAGCGAAAGCAGCAGCAGCAGCAGCACTCGGCGAGCACACTGAGAGTCACAGCAACAACAACAACGATGATAGTGATGACGGACACGGCCATAGCCACAAGCACAGCAGCAAGAAGAGCAAGAAGAAGAAGAGCGACAAGGACAAGGACGAGCAGCATGGACACGGGCACAGCCATCATCATCATCATCATGAGGCTGTGAACGACAGCAGTAGTGCTCACGGGCATAGTCACGACCACGATGGCCTCGGTGGTGCTGGTGCTGGTGCTGGTGCTGGGAGCGACCCGCATCTCCACTCGTACAGCTCAAGCGCGCTCGAGCGGGTCAAGTGCGACGTCGAGGCCAAAGCGCGGCCGCCGTCGACAACGCCCAGCACGCTGGCGTACACCAAAGCAACGGGTGGCAACCATATTGGCATCAACGCAGGCCCCGACGGCAACGGCGGTGGTGATGACCGCGATGATGACCCGTCCACAGCGCTGCTCGGAGCGCAACGGGCCGGCGGCGCTCAGTCGGCCTCCCAGCGCGAGGCTCAGGTCGCAAAACGCAAGCTGCTCATTGCTGCTGGCCTGTGCGCCTTCTTCATGGTCGGCGAAGTCGTCGGTAAGCTCAGCACGAACGCTACTTCTCGCTGCAGATAAAATCCAAAAAAAAAAAAAAAAAAAAAGCGGGAAAAGCGAAAAGCTGGCCGTTCTGTTACGCTGTTCCATTGGACGAGACACGATGAGGGTGTGGGTGTACATGTTCCTCATTTGACATGGGTGGGAAAACCGCAGAAAATCAACTCCGAAATGAATGGTTGAATTTGTGGGAAATGGATGGTCAAATTCGGAGGTGGACTCTCTGAGAAAGTTTGAGCTTTTTTTCGGTATCAATTTTGATTGTGCTTCGTTTTTTGGCCGATTCAACGTGAACGCCGACTGACTTTTCAATGTGCGCCTCACACTCGTTTGATTTGCAGGCGGTGCAATTTCGGGAAGTCTCGCCATCATGACAGACGCGGCTCACATGCTGTCGGATTTCGCGGGATTTATGATCAGCCTGTTCGCCCTGTGGCTTGCCCAACGGAAGGCCACCGATACGTTTTCCTTTGGCTTCCATCGAGCAGGTTTGTGTTTGCGTGTTGTTCATCATCAGAAGAGGTGGAGATGGGGCTGACTTTTCTTTGTTGGCAGAAATTATCGGTGCCATTGTTTCCGTGCTGCTGATCTGGGCCCTCACTGGCGTGCTTGTCTACGAGGCCGTGTTGCGCGTCATTGATACGCCCGAGGTTGACGGCGAGATCATGTTCATCACTGCCCTCTGCGGGCTGGCCGTTAACATTCTGTAAAAGCGACATTTTCGTTTTTGAGTTTGTCTGCAGACGTTCCTTGTCCTGGTAACTCACTGCTCCAACTACCCCTTTTGTTCTCGCAGAATGGGTCTGACCTTGCACCAAGGGCATGGCCACTCGCATGGCGGTGGTGGTGCGCATGTGGCGCCGGTCGACGCCGAGAAAGGGTCTGGCGGCAGCGAAGCCCATGGTCACTCTCACAACATTAACGTTCGCGCAGCATACATTCATGTCCTGGGCGACTTGATCCAATCTATCGGCGTCTTGATTGCCTCCATCATGATCTGGGTCAACCCCGATCTCAAGCTGGCCGATCCCATTTGCACGTTTGTGTTTTCGGTGCTGGTTCTTTTCACCACAGTTGGCATTCTGCGCGACTCTGTTCATGTCTTGATGGAAGGTACAGCCATAGACAATGCGACAGCCCCCAAAAGATTTTGCGTTTGTTTGTTTTGAGTTGGGTGGACGACTCACGAGCTCGTTAAACTGACTGCGTGCAACAGGTGTTCCCAAGGGCATTGATTACAAGCACATCAAGAACTCGATCGAGGCGATTGCAGGCGTCGAGCGCGCTCACGATTTGCACATCTGGTCGCTCACAGTTGGCAAGCCGGCGATCGCCGTGCATGTCTCCATCAACGGACCGCGCTGGGCCAGCCGAGCGGCATGCGATACGTGCACCACACCACCGCCGCTGGATCCCCACGAGCTGCTTCTCAACATTCAAAACGTCCTGTGCGGGCGCTACGGCATCCACCACACCACCGTCCAGATCGAAGATCTCAGCAAAGAGCAGCCTGCCCACTGCACCTACGATGCAGCACAAACCGACGAGATTTGCAATCATCACTGACGACGATTGGTTGAATGTATTCTTCCGTTTCTGGTTTGAAAAGAAAAAAAAATAAATGAGTTGGATGAAGAATCAAAACAAAAGCTTCCTCAAGCTCGCTCATCGTTTAACGATCGAAAAGAGATTGTATGAACGCACTGCACACTCAGCAATCGACCGAGGTAGAAGCGGCCTTCTCGTCGGCCGATCGCAGTGCTTGTGTTTTTTGAATGAACGCCTTTGACTGATAAGCGGATAAGCGAGTTTTCGGAAATTCCCCATTTCTTTTGTGGTTACACACAATTTCACCATTTGGAAGTTTGTATTTGATTCAGTCGCTCATTCTTTTTTTAAAAAACAATCACATCAATACAAACTCACAGATCACAATGTCCGCAACACAAGCAAAGCGGACTGTTGCGCTGATTGGCGGCGAGTTTTCAGGCGGTCAAGTAAGGCGAGCAAAACGAAAGAAAAGAGCGCCTTGTGTTTTTGCAAACGAGAGACTCGCTGTTTTGAGCGTTTGAGTGCTGGAGTGCTGGAATTGGTGATGCTCGAGTTGAAGCGCAGTCTGGTTGGAGTGGAGGCGGAGTGAGGGGGGGGGGCGGTCGAGCAGTGAGACGAGAACGAGTGACTGCATGTGTGTATCTGCGTCTCCTTCCTCCTCTGTGTTTTGTCCCCGCGCTTCTCTCCGCTCTTCCTTCTGCCAGCGTGCCAATGAGTGCGTATCGAGTGGCTTCGTCACGTGACCTTCATCCGTCTGTCAGATCAACAGCGAAATGCAACGAAAAAGCCATTCAACAAAAGCCATCCATTCAAAAAAAAGGCCAAAATAGCTAATCGGTCACGGCTTTTTATTCAAACACAATCATCATTTCTTACTCGTTCAATTGGACGATCGAAGCACGAAACACAAACACAAACACAAACACATGAACGTGTGGCGTTCGATGTGCATCGCTTGATAGCAAGTTGTCAGTTTCAGTGGTGGAGCGTGAATGGAGTCGGAAATTCACATTCGTCTGAGAAACGCAGCTGAGCTCAGCTAGAACACGATTGCGCACCCATCTCACCCTGATTCTCAATCACTGCTCTCACTTGACTGCTGCTTGAAATTTGCTTAGCCAAAGGGCGGCGTCGAGCGTGCGCCAAAGATGATGCGCCAGGCCAAGATTGTCGATCAGGTCAAGGCTCTTGGTGAGTTGTTACGCTCATTGTTTGCTTTGTTTGTATTGTCTGAGACGAGCAGAAACAGTGTGTCAAAAAGAGTGTCACTTTGAAATATGCTCAAGCTGAGAAAACCAGATTTTTGTTTCTCACTCGTTTTCCCCGTTTTCCTGACTCACCTCTTCGTCCCCGACTCTGCACACACACAGGCTACGAGGTCAACGACTGCGGAGACCATGCATTCCCGTCGCCCGATGCTGCCAACTCGAGCGCCGATCCGCCGGCAGGCATCGTCAAAAACCCGCGCACAGTTGGCAACGCGTGCAAGCAGATTTACGACATTGTTCAAGCAGCCGTCAAGCGAGACGAGATTGTCTACACGATTGGCGGCGATCACAGCCTTGGCTTGGCGACGGTCGGTGGGCACGCTGCCTCACGCCCCAACCTGTGCTGCATCTGGGTAAAAAGAGTTGTTTTTCTTTGGATGCAACGAATTTTTGGCGATATTGGGACGCTACGCTCATGTTCACGATGTGCTCATTACCCTTTTTTGGCTGTTAGGTCGACGCGCATGCCGATATCAACACTGCGGAAACGACTGGCAGCGGCAACATGCACGGCATGCCCGTGTCCATCCTGCTCGGCCTGCAAAAGCCGCAAGACATTCCCGGCTTTGAGTGGTTCAACCCCGTCATGACCACTGCCGACATTGTCTACATTGGCCTGCGTGATCTGGACGAGGGCGAGCGGTATGTCTCCAGAAGTAGATTGGAGCAAAGTCTTTGCATGCACTCGTTCTCACTCCCGTTGACTTTTTGTTTTAGCTCCATCATCCGCAAGTTTGGCATGAAGGCATTCACCATGCATCACGTCGACAAGTATGGCATTGGTCAGGTAAGCAGCAGCGCAGCACAGTCAGCAAACCAGTGACAGCCTGAACTGAGACGGCATTTGTTCTTTTCAGGTCGTCCAAATGGCGCTTGATCACGTCAACCCCAAGCGAGACCGTCCGATTCATCTGAGCTTTGATGTCGATGCTTTGGATCCCGCGGTGTGTATTGCTTTTCGTGTGTGCGTTTGGATTGATTGTTCTCACCTGATCTCAAACTGTTGTTGTTTGTCTCAGATCGCACCTTCCACCGGAACCACCGTGCGAGGCGGCCTCACCTTCCGCGAGGGCCACTACATTTGCGAGGCAGTGTACGAGACTGGTCTGCTTCGTGGCTTGGACATTATGGAAGTCAATCCGGCGCTTGGCAACGACAAGGAGGTTGCCGATACGATCGCGATTGGCTGCTCGTTGACGCGCTGCGCTCTCGGCGAGACCTTGCTATAAACATGGGCAAAAGCGAGGTCCAGCACCACAGTGGTTTGAGGTTGATCCCGCGGGGCACAAACAGCTACTGTTCATGTAGATTGCCGAGCAAGGCAACAGGAACAATTGGCACCAGCAACTTGTCCCAAAAAAACAAAAACCTGTCGTGCTGCGATTGATGTCTTTGTCTCTCAATGAATTATTGCTAGAAATCTCAACACTTTCGAAAGATGAGCGTCTCAGAATTATCTCAGAGAACGGAACAGTCCTTTTTTTTTTAATCTTTTTTTATTAAATTCAATAATGGTGAAGGAGACTCACTACTACGAGGTCCTTGGCGTCCAGCCCACCGCGACCGACGACGAGCTCAAGAAGGCTTACAGGAAACTCGCCCTCAAGTACCACCCCGACAAGAACCCGGATGCCGGCGAGAAGGTACACATCCCCCGCATCCCCACATTTCATATCGAAGCAAGCCACAGCCAAAGCACGAGGAGGCCGATGATGCTGTTTTCTTTTTTTTTTTTTTTTTTTTTTATTGAAAGTCTTGGCTTCTTTATTTGGACCTTCCTTGCATTGCGTGCTCGGCTCGGCCTGCAATCTGTGCTTGACTTTGTTCTGTATAGCGTCTATCAAACGAGGGATGCTCTCAGCTTTGGCAGACCAGTGACGCGGAACACAGCCAACAGCGCGTGGACTGATGGAAGACGATCGGTTTTTTTTTTTTTTTTTCATGCAATGCACTCGTCAAGCGTTCCCTGTTCGTTTTGACGCCCGCTCTCTCCTTCGATTCCTATTCTTCTTCTTCTTCTTCTTTTCTTAGTATTCTTTGTTCAAACAATGCTCGCTTCTTTGCTTTCTCTGCAACAACCAAAACCCAATCGTCACTGTCGTCAGCGTTTCCATCCTTTTTTTTTTTTCCTTTGTTCCTTCTCGAAGCTTCTTTTTGTGTTCTTTCTCCGTTTTGTCTTTCTCTCTCTTTCCGACTTTCTCCGTCTTCCGTTTGTCTTTTTATTGATTCGTCGTCTTTCTTCTTTCTTTCCGTTTGTTTGCGTTTCCATCGCGTTGGAAAGTGAAGCAAAATTGGAGCCAAAACTTGGAACCACAGTGAACAAAAAAAAAGACACATGGAAACGAACTGAACCACGCTCTTCTCTCTCTCTATGATGATAGAACCTTGTCGACAACCCTTCCCCTCCTCATCCTCACCCTCAGTTCAAGGAACTCAGCCACGCATACGAAGTCCTGTCCGACTCGAAGAAGCGCGAAATCTACGACCGGTATGGCGAGCAGGGCATCAAGGAAGGCGGCGGCGGTGGCGGCGGCGGCTTCCACTCGGCCGAGGACGTCTTTGCCTCGTTTTTCGGCGGCGGTATGGGCGGCATGTTTGGCGGCGGCGGCGGCGGCCGCGGCAGCGCCCAGCGCGAGCGACGAGGGCGCGACATGGTGCACCCGCTCAAGGTCTCGCTCGAGGACTTGTACAAGGGCAAGGTCAGCAAGCTCGCGCTGAGCAAGGACGTCAACTGCTCGGCTTGCAACGGTCTCGGCGGTAAGGCTGGCTCGGTCCAGTCCTGCCGGTCCTGCAACGGCAACGGTGTGAAGGTGACGCTCCGTCAGATCGGCCCCGGCATGGTCCAGCAGATGCAATCAGCGTGCGGCGACTGCAAGGGCGCTGGCGAGACCATCCCAGACAAGGATCGCTGCAAGCAGTGCTCTGGCAACAAGACGGTCAAGGAGCGTAAGGTGTTGGAGGTGCACGTCGACAAGGGCATGCGCACAAACCAAAAGATTACCTTCACTGGCGAGGGCGACCAGTCTCCCGGCGTCACGCCCGGCGATGTTGTGATTGTGATTGACCAGAAGGAGCACGCCACGTTCAAGCGCGACGGCGACGACCTCATCATGCTCATGCAAATCCAGCTGGTCGAGGCCCTGTGCGGCTTTAAGCGAGTGGTCAAGCACCTCGACGATCGCGAGGTGCTCGTCATCTCCAAGCCTGGTCAGGTCATTGAGGATTCGATGGTTAAGATGATCCCCAACGAGGGCATGCCGCACTACAAGAACCCCTTCGAGAAGGGCAACCTCTTTATCAAGTTCTCCGTCCAGTTCCCCGCTGACGGCTTTGCCACCCCCGAGCAACTCGCCCAGCTCGAGACCATCTTGCCCGCTCGCCCCAAGCTGCCTGCGTACGACCCCGCAAACGTCGAGGATGCTGAGCTCCAGCCTTTCGATCCCGCCAAATACGAGGGTCGCAAGCAGAGCTCGCGAAGCGCCTACGAGGAAGACGACGATGACCACCACGGCCACGGCGGACACGGCGGCGGCGTCCAATGTAATCAACAGTAAAAAACAAACCAAAAAATTGCACCCGTCTTGGCCTTCTTTTTTTGCTTTCGCGGGGCGATTGAACGTTTCGGTTTTGTTTCGTTCGATTTTCGTTCAACTGTTGTGTACATTGTTTTGTTTTGCGTCCGTTCTTTCCTTGTCGCTGTTTTTTTGAATTCATTGTTGAAAAAAAAATAATATCACAAGACATTACAACCAAACTGAACACGAGAAACAGAAACAAGATCAATATTCAAAATGAAAATTTTGCGACGATTAAAGCACAATCCCTCGAATGCTAGCGATCTTTGTGTGGATGGACGGATCACAGCCCACAGGCTTTTCGGCTTGTAGAGATTTGAATCTGTTTGTTGCAAGAAAAAAAGGCGGTGAGCACAAGGTCAGGCGGAAAGCGACAAGATCAACTCAAAAACGTACTTTTCTGCTGGAGCGCCAAACAGTTGGCGGACGTACGCCAAGGTTGGAGTGAGTGTAACATCCAAAGCGGAGAGCACGTTGCTTAAATAATCTGCAGCCAAAGCCATTATTGATACGACAAACCAAACGAACAAACGAACGGAACGTTAGCATGGAAAACAAACAACGAACAATCTTTTCATCAACTTCAAAACCCTTACCAATATCGGTCGCAATTTGCCGAACATCATTGGGGGAGAGACGTGGAAGCTCCGAATAGCGCCTGGCCAGGGCATCCATGGCAACCAAAGCGACAGCCGTCAGCCATTGTTCTGCGAACGGAAGCGCTGGCGCGTCCTCGCCAGAGGGCGACGGATGGAGCTGCCTATGCTGCAACAGCGACTTGGAATATGCGTCGGGCAGTGCGCCGTGGGCAAGCGCCACAAGCAGCGGCTTGTTGTCGGGATTGACGAGCGGTTCGAGCTGGACGGGCAAGGCGAGAAAATGCTCACCGATCTGCGTAATGTAATCAAGAGGCGACAGCGAAAAGGACGGCGCGGCGTCAGTGACGAGCACGCCAGACGGGGCGGTCGAGGAGAAGCGAACATTTCGCAGATTGACCAAGCGGCGATCGATAAAGGCAAAGATGCAATCCACTGCAAGGGCGTGCGTTCGGTTGGTCAGTGAAAGAGCCTCAGCAAGCGCGTCGCCAATCACCTGCGGATGGACAAGCAGTGCAGCAACGCTCGAATTGCTGTTTTCAGCCTGCGTCGACCGTTCCTTTTGGTTGCGAACATTTTGGACGAGCGTGGCCATCCACGACGACAGCTCCCGCTGCTGTGGTTCAGACAAGTGGCAATGAAGGGTAAAGGACACTCCGCTATCCACATCATCGGGGGTGGAAGGGACCATTTGCTGCGAAACACCCCGATTGACTGGCGGAGTCGCTACGCTGGATGCTCCAGCTCCTGCTGCAGTCACACTGCTGCTGCTGCTGGCGGATTGCCCGTCCTTGCTACCACCGCGCATGGCGGCTGCAGCCTCGAGCAACGCAGGAATGTGATCAAGCGCGGCAAAGACCAGGCCATCATCGAGGCCATTGAGGCGCTCAATGATATCGCCGCACACTTGCAAGACCTTGATGGCTGCTTGGAACATGCCCCACTCGTCGTCCTTGTCAAGACTCGCGGCAGCGCTCGGCGTTAGAGCCGCAGGTGACGCGCTCCGCGACTGGGCGGTCGAGCCGGGACCATTGGCGGCATGCGACGCCTGCTGCTGTGGTGTGTCCAATCGGCCAAGTGCACGGTACTGTGACACGGCGGTGGTGATTTTTGAGACCAAGGCCCCAACCAGGGTCGTGATGGCGCGACCCAGCTCTGGAACGCCGCTGCCAGAGGTGAGCTCGACGCAGCGAGTCACCGCCTGCTCTGCAAGCACAAACACGCGTGGAATGGCATCGCCAAGGTGACGAATGTGGTCGTGGCACGTTGCCAGTGTTGGCGGGTCAAACTTGACAATGGAATTGAGACATGCAAGCAGATACTGTCGCTCCAGGGCAATCGCTTCGTCCCGGAGCTTGTCGAAAGGGGTCAGCAGTAATCGAGAAATTTCGCGCTGTTTTTCGGGACGCAAAAGACGCGCAGGTGCGCATCGAGCAGCTGCGTTGTCTCCTCCGATAATAGACGTTGAATTGTCTGCGTCCACGGTAGAGGAGATCGATGGCGACAAAACAGGAGTTGACAAGGACGCGCTTCCCGCCAAGCGATGCGAAACCAGCTGGTCGGGGTTGCTGTGAAGCGTATGCAGTCCAGTCGAGATGGCGCTATTGAAGGCTGCAGCAAGATCGGTGGCGGTGGTGTGCGCAGCTCGCAACAGGATGAGCAAATCAATGACGGGTGACTGGGCGGGCAGGGCAGAGCCCGATGCAAGCTGCTGGGCTTGGGGAAGCGCTGCCGTCAGTGACGGGTAGGTCAAGCCCGAGAGCGAGGCAACCACAAGTGCCGTGACAAAGGCAATGGCGCGATCCAACGGGAAGACCTGAACGCACCAGCCCAGCTCGGTTTTGATGACCGAGTACAGCTCGTCCAGGAACAGCGGGTACCACTCGGTCATGGGAGTCGCAGCGCCTGCCTGTGCACCGCCCTGGCCTGGTGCCGTTGCTGCCGGTTTCCAAAAGCGATGCACGGATGCGGCGTGGCAGCGCGCATAGTACGACTCGAATTGCGCGACGCGGCCCATCTGCTCAAAGCAGTCGAGGTACAGCTTGGTTTCAGCCTCGTCGTGTGAGTTGAGGGCTTGGAATAGACGCGGCGCAATTCGGGCTTCAAACCGATCTTCGCAGGAGCGCATGAGCGCACGCTTGCCGTCAAGTTCTGCCTTTTGCGCGGCATCCTGCTTTTCTGCTGCTGCCGCCGCGGGCTTGGACGGGGTCGCCGCCGAGGAGCCGGCGGTTGCTCCACTCGCCGTCTGCCACGACTTGTCAGCACCCATGGACGACAGACACAGCCGCATCTCGTGCAGGTGCTGCCGGACGGCCGCAACGTCGCCAGAAGTGAGCATTGTGTCGACCTCGGCGGCGAGCGTTGCCCAGGTGCCCGCCTGCCTCAAGCTGACTGTCGCAGCCTCCATGCGATCCCGCACAGCATCGACCTCCAGGAGCACCTTCATGGAGGCGTAGGTGCCAGACTCGACGGCCTGCAGATCGCTTGCGACCGTGCCCATCCGCTCCCTCAGCGCAATCGCCTCCACCCGGATGGTGTCAATATCGCGCAGTGTCCTTGGCATTGCTTGAATGACGCGCTGGCCGGCGTCCTCGAGCGACGCGCTCACGTCCTGCATCAGCAGCTGCAGCTTGACGACGAGCGCCGACGCCGTCTGGCTGATCTCTGTGTTCCCCCCAACCACCAAGGCCCCAAAATACAAGTCCAGCAATGTGTACAAAGTGGTGCTTGTGAGCAAGATTGAAATGATGGCAGAACGCACGACAACAAGAGAGTGAGTGCGTTACCATTGCCATCGTCCGTTACGCTGCTGCTGCTGCTGCTGCTGCTGCTGCTGCGTTGGCCTGTCTGCGATTGCGTCGTCGTCGCTGATGATGCTGATGATGATGATGATGCTGGGTGTGCGCGCCGGAGAACGTCGTTGACCCATTGCTTGGCGGAGAACTGCGGATGGAGAAAGTCAGCCGCGTCCACAGCCAGGACCGAAGCCGAGGACCCGTTCAAGTCCATAGTAAAGCAAAACTCAATGGAGATTCAATAGAGAAAAGGATTGAGATGCTCAGATTGACAGGATTGGGAAAAAATGAGAATTCGTCTTAGATTTGTTGGAAGTTTGTGTGTGTGTGTGTGTGTGTGTGTCAATAGAATAACAAAAGCCAACAGCAGGACTTGGCTTGCTGCTGCTGCTGCTGCTGCTGTATCTCGGCATCCGTAATCCCGAGCTTCTCCATGAGCTCTTTCAGCTTCTTGGCCTTCCGGTCTTCGTTTTGTTGCATAATCACGTAAAGATGACCAGTGAGAAGCTCCTTGGCATCCAGAGATTTCTGCAATCCGAGCTTGGCCTGGACGAATTCTTGCTCGGCGGCAGCGTATCGACGTCTAGAGAACAGAGTGTCATATATGAGGGCAGCGTCAGTTGACTGAAGATGGAGCACTCAGTGGGCACTCATGACAAACACCTTCGCCAAAAAGTCCAACAGCAGCAACGAAAGAACAAAAAATAAACCACCACCCCTCCTGCCCTTACTTTGCACTGGTCAGCTCGCGCTCGGCACCTTCAATCTTTTCGCGCAGAATCGAAACATCGTTGGCCAGAAGGTTGTCCAGCTTGTTGAGTTCCTCCTTGACCACTGTCAGGACCTGGGACTCTTGCCTCGCCTTCGTTTCACGCTCGCGCACTGCTTGCTGCAGAAGGATGCGCTTGAGCTCTGACGCCTTTTCCAGCTCGCTCTTGCGCTGCAGAAAGTCAGGGTCTGACAGTCCAACTTGGAGCGCAATCATATCGCTGTCCGTCCCGAGCGGCGAGATTGGTTTCCTTCCAGAGCTCGATTGTTCATGTACACTTGGAGATGCTTCGGCGCTTGTAGGATGACTACCATTACTGCTATTACTACTACTACGAGTCGCAGCAATGTCAAGATTGACCAGAGTTACTTGATCCGAGGATGGCTCTGCAGCAACAGACGTCGCACCTGCACCCATCGTGGCCATTCCTTGTTTGCCATCTGCCAGATGATCTTGTAGTGTAGTTCTTGACTCTGCTAACAACGATGGAGATGATTCTTGGGCCAAATTGCTGAGAATCTGCTGCGATTCGCTCGCTTTCGACTCGCGCCCTTCGTCTTGAGTGTCTGCCGTGTGTTGGGACGCTTGGTGTGATTGCTGCTGATGGTTCTTCTGATTCTGTTGTTGGAGGTGGTCTGGCGACTGCTGCTGCTGGGCTTCGGTGATGGCTCCGGCTGGAAGGAAGGCCGCGAGGAACCCTCCAGGAACGGCCGCTCCAGCCGCTCCAGCCGCCCGCTGCTGCTGCATTGGCTGTTGCTGCATTGACTGGTGCATTGACTGCTGTTGAGCAGGTCGGCGCAGTGGTTGCTGCTGCTGCTGCTGCTGCTGGTTGCTGGCTCGTTGTTGTTGCGGCCGTTGCCTGCCACTGTCAATGTTACTATGACTGTTGTGCGCAGAGCTCGCATCTGGAGCGTCGTCACCAAAGCCACCAAACCCGCCAAAGCCGCTGAAGCCGCTGAACGGCGCTGACTGGGCGCGACCTGTCATGATGTTTCTGCTGCGTTGGACTGAAAATCGGACTGAGCTTCTCAGAGACCATAAAAGGCAGGAATGGAGTACAAATGGAACGGTCACTGAGGTCAATATCCCATTGGACAGGAACGATGTGAATGGAACCCGTGCGTTCGCAAGTTTATGTTGGAGTTTTGACTGGACAGCCGAGGTCAATATGGCTGCGAGATTTCTCTGCAGCTCAGACCCTGTTGATCAAAATCTCGCTTCCTTGACGCAAATACAGATCTGCGGTAGTGGGGATTTGGGATGATCCCAATGTCAAAAATCGATCCAATCACAAAATTTTTTTTTTTGTATTACGTTTATTGGAGAGTGGAAAAAGCTTCTAAGGCTCAAAAACCACAAAGAGGAGGATCATGATCAGGGGCATGGAGTAAGTGACAAGGGCAACGTGTTTAACTTATTCTTGCGGTTGCAAGTTTGGTGTTAGCGTCCTGGTCATACGGGCGCCGCTTGGTGACTCGGTTTGCTCATGCTCACCGGGTTTCGGGGGTAGAAGTGAAATGGTGGTCTTCTCTTCTGACCTGACAATGCACTTTCCCCACATCTTCGACGTGGGAGAGTCAGCAGGCGGGGCTCGCGGCACAATGTCCTGCAGGGCGCGGGAGTGGACGAGTTTGATGAAGGTGGTGTGGCTGGGTGTGAATGTGTTGTTGATTTTTGCTTCGCAGCGGGTGCGCCAGATTGCCCAGCGTCCGAGGTGGTACAGGGTCGTGGCAAGCGCTCGCATTTCCTTTTTTCGCGCAAGCGTGGTGGGGAAGGGACCGAACAGGAGGGCTTTGTCGAACATTGGGAGGGAACTTGAGTGAGCGTGCTGGAAGATGGCGTTCGCGGTTTCCCAAACCGCTTGGGCTGTGTGGCAGCGGACAAGGATGTGGTGCCAGGTTTCTTTGGCCGAGCGGCCGTCGTGTTTGCAGTGCGCGCAGTCGTAGCGCCCGGTGGCAATTCTGTCGTCGTACTCTTCGCGGGAGAGCGAGCCGGCGCGCAGCGCTTGACCATCTGTTTCGAGCCAGTCGGCGCCCAGTCGGTTGGTGCGGTGTGCAATGCGCCAGAGCAGGGAGGCTTGCTTGGATGTGACTAGACTGGTTCTGATGGAGTTGGCCAGTGATTCGAAGGGCACGTAGCCAACTTTGTTGATCCACCATTGGAGGGCGTCTGGTCTCGAGGGACGTGGAGTGAGCAGCTGCCTTAGCGTTTTCAGTTTGAGCTTGTGCGATGTGACTTGCAGGGGCTTCTGGACGCTTGAGTGAACACCGTTGAGGACGATGTTGCTCCAGATGAGGGGCATGAGTTGAGTGCGGCCAACATGGTACAGTTGCTTTCGTGGGAGGAAAATCTTTCCCCGCTTGTTTGGTTCAGGCTTGGTGTTGGGAGCTCGCCAGTAGACGACGGTGGCGTGTTGCGCGGTTGCCAGGCGGAACTTGGTGAGGACTAGGCCTGGCTGGGCAGGCGCGATCAGGGCGTTCTCCGACTCGTAGAACACTTGGCCGGCTCCGAGTGAGCTGCTTGTGAGCGGGCTGCCCGTGCGGAGCTTGACAACTCTGAAGAGTTTGGGATTGGCGTCGTCGTCGTCGGCTGGTTGGGCCCAGCACCACGGTAGATCTTGCACTGACGGGATTGTGGCGCTATCCTGCTCTACGAGCGACGAGAGCTGGCTCCGGTCGAGTGCCTCGTGGAGCTTGTTGTAGTATTTTGCGTTGGTGAAGCTTTGGACGAGCGAGAGCGGGGACCACTCTTCTCTAGCTGGGTTACCGATGAAGCGGCGCAGGTCGCGGACGCGCATGTATCCGTTGAGGATCCAGCTCGGCCACCAGAGCGGCTTGCCGTCGTCCTGGATGTCCGGTGAGTCCCAGAGCGGGTGAGCGAGCGCCTCGTCGCGGCAGGCAGGGGTTTGGAGCTCTGGCCTGAGCTCGTGCCATGCCTCAAAGGCTTTGTGCCAGAATGCAGAGATGCCAATAAAGTCTGACGAGGCCTTGATCACCAGCCTGAGCACGTTGAGTGGGCATGCTGGCTTGTCTGCCGCACGCCAGAGGCGGACAGCAATGTGCTTCCATGGGGCAGCATACGGCTGACACCATGCCAGGGCGGCTTGGGCGAGGAGGGCTTTGAGGTGACGCCGAACGGGGATGAGTCCGAGTCCGCATGCCACGGATTTGATTGGTGCTGCGACGTTGGCCTGGTGAGTTCGCGACCATTTGCTTGGGTGCCAGAGGAACTTGTCGATGATGCGGGTGAGTTTTGCTGTCTGCTCGGACGAGAGGGGCACAAACCTCGCTCGGTACCAGACTTTGGACAGCGCGATGGTGTTGGCGATGAGCACACGACCTGGGAGTGACGGCCCGTGAACGAGCCATCTCGACAACTGGCCGTGCAGCTTGTCGAGTAGGTCGCCAAAGTTTGCGACGGTCAGATCACCGTGGCCGAGCATGACGCCGAGGTAGCGCGTCGTAGAGTTTGGTCCAACCCACTCGAGGCCTTCCAGGTCGGGGGGAGGCTTGCGCGTTGCAGTTGGTCCGAGCGGGATGATGGTGGTCTTTGGTGCATTGATTTCCAGATTTGTGGCCGTCCCCACAAACTTGAGCTCGTTCAGCAGGTTTGGGACGTCTGCTGGTGAGGCGAGAAAGTAGGACGAGTCGTCCGCGAAGAGGGTGGGGAGAATGACAAGATCGTCTGGCCGGTCCTCATTCGCTCGGCCACGCTTGCGATCGGCTTTGAGGTTGCTGCTGGGGATCCGCAACAACTTGAGCTTTGTGCCGTAGGTGATGTAGTCTACGATGGCGCAGGCGTAGAACGCGAAGAGTGTCGGCGAGTCGCAGCCTCCCTGGCGCACCGACCTTTGGATTGGAAAGTGATCCGAGACCCGGCCTTGGTACACCATCGCGGAGCGGCCATTGGTGTTGTAGAGTTTGATCATGTTGATGTAGCCTGGCCCGACTCCGTACGCTCTGAGTGCAGCATACAGGAAGTCGTGTGAGACCTTGTCGAACGCCTTGGACGCGTCTGTCATGGCAATCACTCCAGGGGTTTTGATGGTGTTGCACAGATCTATCACATCACGGGTGAGATGATCACAAAATCTCTGATCAATCTCAATCGTTTTTGCTCAATCGCTGCTCCACTGCACAGCATACGCTTCGAGATCGTTCATTGGATCTCGCAGTTTCAAGCCTCTGCCAATGCGCTGTCAACCAATCCGGCGAGCTGGGATTGTCACGATCGTCAAAATCTTTCAATTCGCTTGATTCGCTTCTTGATCCACCCTTCTGTTCACCTTGCACGCAGCGTACGCTTCGAGATCTCGCACTCTCAAGCCCCCTACCAACCGAGTCGTGGACCAATCCAGTTCTTCGCAGGAACAGGTTTTGCACGGGGGAAGTGAGTGAGTTGGATCGTGAAACCGGTTTTCTTTTCCAAATGCAAAAAAACTGACGTGAGTGAACTTTTGCCGCGTTTAAAAGGCGGTTTTTGCCTGAGTTTCAAAACGCTCAGTCTTTTTCACGCTCTTTCGCTCTCTTTCGCTCTCTCTTTCGCTCTGATCGTTCTACTCTTTGCCTGTCTACCGCAAAAGGCGAGATCACGAAATCCAAACTACTCAAAGAAAGTCATCTGCGACTCTCACCTTGCGTATTGGAAACAAAAAACAAAAACAAGAAGTCATGTCAGCGGCAATGGATTCGTTCTTGAGCGACTATCTCAGTGAAAAGTCGAGCGAGGCAGCGAAATCGACTGCTGTGTCCGGTTTGAAACCCAGCGATGTAGCTGCGTCTCTGTTCACCTTTGCCGAGGACGACGACAACGACGACGACAACGAACGCAGCAGTCCCAATGCGAAGAAGGCGGCGGCGGCTGCTGTTTCTGGTTTGAAACAAGACGATTTGGCTGCGTCACTGTTCACTTTGGCCGAGGACCGTCGCAGCACTCCCACAACGACTGCTGCTGCTGCTAGTGTTGCTGATGGTGATGATGGTGATGAGGGCACTGCCACTACTGGCAGCGAGCGCTCTCACTCGCCCGAGCAGCCCGCGGGTGACGAGAACTCAAACCGTCGCAACGTTGATGCGCCGCCGCCGACGCCGGTCAAGCCCACTGTGGACGACGACGTGCGCCGCCGCTACAACGCGCTCATCTCCAAGGCCAAGAGCACGCTTGCAACTGACCAGCGGCGTGCACTCGCGCTCTACCAGGAGGCCTACGCGCTCGTCCCGCTCCCGAAACTGGCGCAGCGCATCGCCGAGATTCAGGTTCGGGATTTTTTTTTTTTTTTGGATTTCCCGCGCTTTTTTTTACTCTTTTTCGGGTTTTTGGATTTCAGCTCACTTTTGACGTGATTGCGATTGTTTGTTTGTTTGTTTGTTTGTTGTTATTTCTATGGCATGAACAGAGCAAACTGAACGATGAATCGGCGGCTGAGACCGCTGAGACGGCGGAGAAGGCGGAGAACTCTGAGAATTACGTCGAGCTCGCTCAAGACTTCTTTGTCCCGCATGCAACGGTGGAACGCATGTTTCCGCATCAGCGAGAGGGAGTGATTTGGCTCTACTCGCTCTTCCAGCGCAAAACGGGTGGCATTCTGGGCGATGACATGGGGTGAGGTCGTTTTTGTTGTTCGGGCAAGTTTGATGGCAACATATGCATGAAAACTCACCGCAATTATATTGCTGCAGCCTTGGCAAGACCATCCAGATCGTGAGCTTTTTGCAAGGACTGTTCTGCTCCAAGCAGATCAAACGCGCGCTGATTGTGGTTCCCCTCGCGCTCCTTGACAACTGGAAGAAGGAGTTTGAAAAGTGGTATGCCTCATTTGCAATTCGACCTTTTGATCCATTCGTTACTCGAGTCCCTGACCCTGTGCGTGCGCCCTTTTGGCGTTTGTCCCTTTCACTTCTGCTGACACTCACAGGGCTCCAGAAGTTGCCGTGTGGCAATTCCACGATGGCGATCTCAAGCAGAGACATCAGGTCCTCCGCAGTCTGCGCAAGCGCGGTGGAGTGTGCTTGACCACTTACGGTACGACCTCGCCGACCTGTGATTTGCAGAGTCAGACGAAAATTGCGCACAGCTGATTTCCCCGCTCACCTGTCTTTCCGGTTGCTTTGCTGCAGGAATCGTGTGCTCGCGAAACGACGGTCTGAGAACCATCGACGAGAGGGTGGATGGTGGAAGTGCACAGTCCGACGACAGCACGGTTTGGGATTGCATGATCCTGGATGAAGGTCATCGCATCAAAAACTGCAACACCAAGCTGGCTCGAGCCGTCTACAACATCATGGCCACAACCAAAGTCATTCTTTCCGGCACTCCAATCCAGAACAACCTGAAGGTACAAAAAGGATTTGCATTTTTTTTTTAAGTGTAAACGCGCTCGAAGCTCTTCCTAAACTCACTCCCCCACGCTTTTTCGTTTTTGTGCCGGGCTTAGGAAATGTGGGCATTATTCAACTTTGTCTGCGATGGAAAGCTGCTTGGAACCATCCAGTCTTTCGGCAAGCTGTTCAACCAGCCGATTGTCCAAGCAAGCGACAAGAGCGCTACCGACGCGGAACGCCTGCAAGGGGCCACCGTCGCTGCAGTGCTCAGGGATCGGATTGCGCCCTATTTTCTTCGGCGTGAAAAGAAGCAGGTGCTGCACGCAGATGACGGAACTGTGTTTGCCGCTCAGGCTGCCGCTGACCTGGCAGACGCGCCCGGCACTATCGCGATCAAGCTCGAGCGCAAAGACGATCTGATTGTCTGGCTGAAGCTGGCCCAGCCTCAACTGAAGCTGTACACTGCCTTTCTGGAGAATACGGACATTGACGAGGTCAGTCAGGTTCTTGAATTGTTTGCGTTGCTCGTGTTTCGTGGCAGCTGACCGATTTGCGACGAATTTTCGTTGATTTTTTTTTTGTTTTTTTTGTTTTTTTTTTGGTTTGTGTGCGGACCCCGATTTTTCAGCTGATCAACGAAGGTTCGACTGTGCTGTCTGCGTTGGTCATGCTGAAAAAGCTATGCGATCATCCGCAGCTTCTGAAACTCACGACAAACAAGAGCGACACAAAAGACTTGCGCATTTTGGCCGCAAAGAAGTGGTATGGAGAGTGCCAAGTTTGCTGCGTTCATGCCCTTGACTAGCTTGGTGTACTCTTTTTTCTAATGTGCCGTGCTCCAATCACTTCAACTTGAAATTTGCATCGCCAGCGACGACGACGACGAGGATGAGGAGAGGCAGCAAGAACGTCAGACTGCGCGCGCCAAGCTCACCGCTCTGGAAGTGAAGAAGCTGTGGCAGTCGTTCTTGCCCAGGACCGCCGAGCAGATCGAAGACACGATTCAAGCCTCAGTCAAGCTGTCCTTCCTGACGACCTTGTGCGAAAATCTAAAGCAGGACGGACACCGTGTGTTGATCTTCAGTCAATCTACACGCATGCTCGATCTCATCCAAGAAGTGCTCACATACCAAAAGTACTCGTTGATCCGGATTGACGGGTCTGTCACTGGTCATGAGCGCCAGCATCGCATCGACAAGTTCAACACGGACGACTCCATCTTTGGCTTCCTCCTGACGACGCAAGTGGGCGGGGTTGGCATTACCCTGACGAGTGCCGACCGTGTGATTATTGGTAAGGCTGCTTTGAGTCATTGAGTCATTGTCGACGGTAAGCTTTGGTGGCTGGCTTTGTGCGCTAACCGGGTTTTTGGCTGTGTCGCTTGTGCGCAGTTGATCCGAGCTGGAATCCAGCTATCGATACCCAAGCAGTTGATCGCGCATACCGCATCGGCCAGACCCGAAATGTGGTGATTTACCGGCTCATCACATGCGGCACCATCGAGGAGAAAATTTACTGCCGTCAAGTCTACAAGAGCGATTTTTCGCACGTCATGATCGACAAGCATGCTCCATCTCGGTGAGTCGTTGGAGAGTTTGGAGGGTGGTTTTTGCAGGCTGAACAAAGCACGCGATGAGCAAAATATCGATTGACTGGGATGACATTCGCTTGATCTCTCGTGCTGCCAGCCATTTCGACGCATCCGAGCTGTATCAGCTGTTTGAGATTGGCGAAACGTCGTTTTCAACCACCCAAAAGGAGTTGTCTGCAAAGTACGATGGAGCCAAGATCATTCCACCATGGTTGGCAGACCACTTTGCGACATTGAAGCGTTTGGGTGAGTTGGTGCCTTTTTGTTTTGGTTTGTATATGGATATGGAAACAAGGTGAGTGCTAACGCCAGTGTGTTGCTTTGTCTCCAGATGTTCGCGGAACGAACTTTCACGATCTCTTGTCCAACAGCAAGGTCAAGGACACCGAGGAAGCCGTCGACCAAGGCGTGGTATGTTTTGTGGAGTTGTGATTGTTGTTGAGTTGTGGCTCCATGATCCCGATCGACTCACGTCTCTTGTCTCTTTTGAATGCAACGCGTAGCTTGAGGAGGCCAAGCGCGACCTCGACACCTCCATCATTGAGGACGAAGACAACAACAGCGCGCCGCTTCGTCGACCAGCCGGTCCTGCGGTTGCAAAGCCCGCTGCACGAAAGCCCCGAACCTTGGCAACTGTATCCGCCGAGGCAGAGCTACGTACTCCTGCCGCCACATCCAAAACCAGCAAGACCAACAAGGGCAACAAGACCAAAGCTGCTGCTGCTGCTGCTGCTGCAGTTGCTGCTACTACTGTCCAGAGCTCGCCAATTCTCGTGGACTCGCCGATGGCAACGACGAAGGTCTCTGTCGGCGTGATGTCGCCAATGTTGAACGCGCTTCTCAAAGCTCCAACGAAATCGATGGCGGCCGAGTCGCCATTGCCGACCAACGGCGGCGGCAAACGTGTCAGGCGCCGCCTTGTCATCGACTCGGATGACGACGAGGAAGACACGACTGCACCCGCCCCAAGCAAGGCCTCTTTGGTGGCGCCGATTATGCTGGATTTGAGCGCGGATGATGAAGACGATGGAGAAAATGCTCCATCGGAACGTTTCGAGAACGAGCGTCGTGTTTCTGTTCCGTCACCCATGCTTTCGCCCGTCGTGAAGCATGCCGGCGTTTCGGTCGACTCCCTCCCTGAGGAATCAACAACTGAGTACCCAGACGCGTACCAGGCTGAGGAGCTTCAGGACACAAGCTACGAAGACAACGTCGAGTCATGCCATGCCGACAACGCCATCCTGCCAGAATATTCCAGTGCCCAGTCCGATCAATCGGAGGATGGCTACTCTCGTGATGCGGCTGATGCGGAAGACAGCACTGGTGCCGTCAGTGTGAACGAAGCCGACATGCTCGTCTCGAAATTCTCGGATCTTCGTGTTGACGTCACGGGTACGCCTGACGAGGAGGCACACGAAGAACAAGTCCCGCCAGCTGCCGGATCTCTGGAGCAAGACATGTTGGATGCGCTTGCCGCAGACTTTATGGCGCAAGAACCGTTTGATGAGCCCATGCCGTTTGCTCGCGGTCGCAAGAGCCTTGGTGCACGTTTGGCCGAGGCGGCGTGGGCGGAGATGAGCGGGCTGGACTTGAACGAGTCGCTGCTCGAATCGGAGGACTTTGATACCGCAAACGTGTCACAGAACGACGCTTGGGATGATGCGGAGCAGGGCTCGATCAACTCGGACGATTCCGACCTGGACCGAACCCTGACTGAGGAGGATGCAACCTCGATGCGGGCCACCGGGCTGTTTCAACCTGACGCCACTCTGTCGCTTGCTGACTCGGATCCAATCCCTTCAAGCGAACCCTCTGCGCCTTCAAGCGAGTCTCATCCACCGGCCTCGTCGGCATCTGAGATGTCCATCATTGTCAACCGGCCGCGCAGTGCTCTGAGCGTCGAAGAGCTGACCCAGTACAATCAGCTGCTGGCAAAGTCCAGGTGAGAAATTGAATCGTGGTACTGACAGGCATTGCGATCTGTTTGAGCGGGGTACAGTACCTCACAATCACTGCTTTTGATTAGGGCTCTGCGGGCCAGTGGACAGGTTGCCCTGGCGCTGAATGCGCTGCTGTCTGCTTTTGACATTTGCGATGAAGATCCATCCCTGCAGGCATTCATTTCTTCATTCTCGCAACAGCTTCCCGAATTTTAAGGCCATCTGTACTGTATTGTTTGCTGGATTGGATGGCAACGAATGATTTTTGCAATGAAATGTAACTGCTATTATGAATGTATCAAGGAGTGGTATAAGTGTTAGTGTGATGGCGAGGCGGGGTGAAAGGAAGTTTGAGATGGTGTTTGAGGAAATCTGCGCAAGCTTGATCGATCACTCGTCGTTTTTGCCAATAGCCACATTCGAAAACACGGTTCGACCCATGTCGCGGATGTGATGCATGGCGCTGGAGATGGCAAAGACATGATGCAACGCGGCAAAGTCTGGGCGCTCCTCGGGAATGTCACGCCAGCACTGATACACAATGTTGGCAATCACTTCTGGGCATTCGGCGGGCAGCACCAAGCGCTTGCCTCGCTCCAACTCAGCGAGAACCTCGGGACCGCGTTTCTGTCCGTATGGAACAAGGCCGTAGGTGTACACCTCCCCTGAAAACAACAAGAAATCGATCAAGCAAGAGGAACGAACTTGTCGTGAGCAAACGTCAACCGAAATGCACGCAGTTGCAACGCATCCCTTACAGGCAACGACACCAAAGGCCCAAACGTCAGACATGGTGGTGAACTTTCGATACCGAAGTGCTTCAATGGCCAGCCACTAATCATCACCAGCGAAAGCAGGACGAGTTAAGAAAAAGGTGCTTTTTTGTTTTTTCCTCTCATCCGACTTTTCGTCTCATCCGACAACAAGTCTCCATTCAACAATTAGCTTACTTTAACAGGCAATCGACCTTTCGTTTCGTTGCGGTGGTAGTTCTTTTCGTCCAAGAGTTCGCGCGACAGCCCAAAGTCGGAGAGTTTGACTTGCAGGTTGGGACCAACCAGACAGTTCCGTGCGGCTAGATCGCAGTGCAGGAATCGAATTGACCCGAGATACTCCATGGCCGACGCGATCTGCGCCAGGACGTGCGAGAACTCGGTGACAGTCCACGGGATGCGTGCACGCCGCGACTTCACGAGAACGCTGCGCAAATCGCCGTACGCGATGAATTCGAGGACAATTTGGAATGGTCGCTCCTCCAGCAAGCCAGCCACCATAAGCACAATGTTTGGGTGGCGGAACTGGGCCATCATGTTGGCCTCCTCGATGAAATCGTTGCGCGTGGTGGCCTCGCCGTCGTTTTTCAGCAGTTTGATTGCGACTGGCAATCGGTCGTCGGTCGGCTTCAGCAAGTGTCGCGCGTGCTCTGGCACTGCCATCCGTTTGATAAATGCCTTTTGCACAATGCCAAACGAGCCTTGACCGAGCGTCGCGTCGAGCTCAATGGCACGTCGCAGCGTCTGAGCCTCGCCGTCGATCAATCCTGCTCCGGCCAGGAAAACGGGCACGGGAAGTGCAGTTGCTGCATCTGTGCTCTTGGAATTACTACCAGCAGTAGCAGCAACAACAGCAGCAGCAGCAGCAGCAGTAGCAACAGCATCAGTCGAAGTGCTGGCAGCAGACTTGCGGGCAGACTCGACTTGGGCAGTCAGATCCGAGTAGGCGAGCCGGCTCCTCCGACCGTTCGTGCTGCCAGAGGACGACGACGACGACGACGACGACTGTGCGGATTCACGCATGTCTGGCGAACGAAGATGTCGCTCGCTGTCACTTGTGCGATTATTTCGTTTGCGACGGCTGCTCTCGAGGCACACGGCGAGCAGCGCCACGCACACGAGGACGGCGGTGACAAGTCCGAGCCAGCCGGCGCCAGTCATTCCCGTCGCAGCCTCTCGAACGGCCGATGATAGTGGTGACAATCCCGGTGATCCGCTGGTCGAGTCGAGTGGTGCGTGGTGCGGTCGCTGGTCTCGCTGGTCGTCGTCGGGAATGACAGGACGTGCGTTGCTGCCGTCGGGTGCGAACAAAACCGCAGCCAGCCCCCACTCTAAGACCAAGCCGCAGCACCGCGCAGCAGCAGCAGAGGACCGAGCTCCCAATCGCAGCGTCATGTCTGTGTGTCGTCGCAAGTGAGGGTGCTGTGTTGTTCGTCTGGATTGGGTGGACGAGGAGGGGGAATATGCGTGTGCTGCAGGAAAACAAAGAAGGAAAGAAGAATGACTGAGTTTGTCCATTCAACATGTCGAAGATGGCTGATCCACTGTAAGATCGAACATGTCATAAGTGTATGAGAGTGCAGGATGAGACTGCAGGGATCACTGCAATCCGGCTTGTCAAAGTAGCGCTGAAATGCAAAACGCCAGTCTCTCATTTTCTCAGAAATTCATTGGATGCACTTTCTCAAGCACTTTGCTCTGGTCAGCGGAGGCGCTTCCGGTGCATTGTGGCTCTGCGTAAACCAAGATACAACTACCAAGACCATTGCCAACTATAGCACACGCCGTAGCAATCACCAACCAGGAGCAGCAGCGGATGGGACATTGAGCTCTACAGTCATCAGTGCTGCTGCTGGGCGGCGGAGAGTCGCGCTGATGCCCTCGACCGACGAGCAGCAGCAGCAGCAGCAACAGCGCCCGCCGTCATCACAAGCAGAATCGTCGGAATCGCCAAGATCATCGAGTGCTAATGCGGCTCCTGCGGTCAGAGCGCGCGGTGCTGCTGGGCCGGTCGCGTCGCTGGCCGACCTGATTGCGTCGGGCAAGGGCGGCCCGCCAGTCGGTGCAGACGGCCTCTCGCCAATGATGCGTGCTGCTGGCTATGTTGTCGTGCGACCAGGCGTCGTTCGGCTGCCGGACGGGCGCGAGATGGACGAGAAGGTGCTCTCCCAAGTCCTCGAGGCTCGCGCGCGTGCGCTGGGTCTCAAGCTGACGTCCAGGGACGGCATGGGCCAGAGCGTCGAGGATACAAACACGGACGAAGCAGAGGAGATTCGCTCCATTTTGCGGCGGTCCATGTTCATGGGCTTGAACGAGCAGCAAACGCTCGACTTGGTCGTCTCCAAGTTTGGCCCGGAGGTTCTCATCGAGTCCAACTTTGATCTCGGCAAGGCTGCGCTCTATGCCATTCCAGGAATCATCGCTGCAAGCCTGGTGCTCGCGGCCGTCACTTCGCGGCGAGCCAAAGCGCCGCCAAAGCTGGTCGAGTACGCGGAACACCTCATTCCACCAGCCATGCCAGTTTCCGGGCAAATGCACCAGTACCTGACGAACTTGGTCACAATCCCGCCGCGGCCCTCGAGCAGGTCGGATGTTGATAACGATTCTCGCTCGTGAATGAGCATATGCCCCCCGTTGGTTTTTGTTGTTGTTGTTGAGAACAATACATCGGATATTCCTATTTGTGAACGAGGACAGATGAACTATACCATGGATTGTACTTTTACACTATCTTCTTAATCTCGTCTATTACAGCATCCACGATCTGCTCGCGTGGAGCATCGCCGTGAAAGCTCAAAAGGCCTGGGTGTTCAGCAATGATCTTGTGGTAGTCAATGTACCGAGGCCATACAACCGAGTCAAAGTAGTCTGCGGGATCCGGGTGCTCGCCGTAATCACGGCATTTCCGGCGCGCGCGTGCGGTATCTTGTGGCAGGTCCAGGTTGATGCACAGATCGAACGAGTCGGACAGTTGGAAGTCGGGGTGCATGACAATCAGACCTTCGCACAGCACGACATGCACTGGCCTGGCGCCGCGTGTCAACAGCACGGCTGGAGCGTCGCGTGCTTGATGCTCTGTTGCAGATTGTGCGCACGTCGGGCACGACCGCTCCGGGTGGCGCTGGAGTTCTTCCGTTTGTTTCCTCAATGCTGCATCGTCGAACGCCCCCACGCCTGATTTCCAGTCCAAGTCCAATCCAAGCAATAGACCGAGTATTTCAGTCGAGTTAGTTGCCACCTGGGAATGAGTGCACCTGACCAGCAGCGTTTCATTGTTACAATCGAAATCCTTTTCGGCTGTTCCTTCGCGCATTGGAATATTCTCGTAATCCTAACCAAGCAGAAACAAACCGCCGTCAGCTCTCGAAAATACCATACGATTGACTACATGTTGAGTTCCCTTCATTATTGACAAGCACGAGCATGATTTTTCCCGCTGCTGGTCGCTGCAACCAGATCGCAGTGCAGGACTTTTGAGCCCAAACGCTCTTCCCAGTGTTCCCCGCCCCCTTCCCCCAACCTCCCGAAAATCAGCAAACACCTTAAAGTAATCGTCTTGATGAAGCACAATCGTATGCGCCAGTCTGGCTTGGAGCGCGTCGGCCAGCGTCGTCTTGCCAGCGCACGAGAGACTGAGTGCACAATGCATCAGTCAGTCAATGGAAGAGTCTTCCCCTTCCCCTTCCTTTGGTAGGATTTTCAGAACAGACCCTGTGATGGCGACAGTGACGATGGCTGGCTTGCTCGTCATCGAAATCGCAAAACCCAAACACTCTCAGAAATCGAGCCAAACAACAACGACAACTGAACAAACTGAGACTGAGACTGAGCGTTGTTCGCTTTCGTCTTGTTCCTGAATTTTCATTCTTCCATACCATACGTCAGTCCTTCATTTTTTTTTTTTTTTGTTTGTTTTCATTATGGCAACCTTGTCTCAGACGCTGAAGGCACATACGGCACGACAAGCGGAGTTCAAGGACGAGATTGGTACGTAATGCCGTCCCAGTGAGCCGAGCATCGGCCTGGTCGCTCACGAGGCTTTCCTTTTGCCATCATCATGAACTCTTGGACTTGCTTTTTGATTTTGGCACCTTTGAGCAGAGCGCTCGCGCAAGGCGGCCGTCGCGTCTGTCGGCGCAGTGACCAACGCAATGGTCAACTCACTCAATGCCGGGTAAGGCCCACGACTCTCTCTCTCTCTCTCTCTCTCCCTCGTCCACCAAGGAGTCTCATCGAGCACAGATAGAGACAAGCGACGGGGCAATCATGATCACGACCCTTGGAACGGCTCCGGCTCGGGCAGTTGCATCAGCGGGCAATGGACCCGACTTGTGACCATTCAGCCAGCTTGACCAACCCCTCTCCGCCACTGATCTCCAATTGCACCTGTTTTTGTGGATCAGAGTTGCCCAAGTCTTTAACAACCAGCGGCTACTCGAGGCGGAGTCCAAGCAGCTCCAAACGCTCGCTTGTAAGAATGCATTTTTTATTTTCTGAGTTGTTTCTGAGCTGTTTTTGTTGAATCGTACTCAAGACTTTGTTGCTTTTTGCGTTGGATGGAAATGTGCAGCGCGATACTCCAAGCAGGCATCACAATGGCTCGGCACAGTGGACGCCTTCAACCAGGCCTTGAAGGTATGGAAGTTTTAAAACAAACTCTTTGATCGCGTCTCCTGCACGTCTCACAACCCGTCCATCCGTTTTTGTCGGTGTGTAGGAAATTGGCGACGTGGAGACGTGGTCCAAGAGCATTGAGATTGACATGCGCGCGATTGCGACCGCACTGGAATTTGTGGCGACAGGACGCGAGTCGGACAACGCCTTCACGGTCGTGCCTCCTCCACGGCCTGTTGTTGCCGAGGCCGCCAGTACGTCCGCCACTGAGACTGCGCCAAGCAACTCGGACGCAGCTGTTGCACCGTCGGCCGACGCTGAGGTGGCATCGTCATAAATTCATTGTTGCTGTTGCTTTTTTCAAAAACCCTGTCACATACAATCTTTTTGCACACATGCACAACTGCCTTGAACAATAGCAAAGATGAAACAAGAACGGATTTTGGTGTAGAATACATTGGCTTGCGTGACAAAAAAACAAATGGGCAATGGAAATAACAACACCAGACGCAAAACCAAGTGAATCGGATGCAAAAGGGATCGGCTCCGACAAACGGACGGGACGGGGACGGGACGTTAGAGAGGGGGGGGGAGGGACCTAGAAACACGCGAGTGGATCCAGAAATTGAACGATAGAAAACGGGGACGGGCTGAAGCAGGGGGGAGGGCCGCAGCTGAATTTTTTGACAAATGAGGTGGACGAGAAACGTCCAAAAGAACAAAAACGATTGGGAGGCCAATCGGGGAAAAGCAGGGAGAAAAATAAAGAATAGAATTAAAAGCGGGCTCACTCGCGAAGAAACACAGACCAGGGGAAGACAA